ATCAGTATCCTAGCGCCTGTCGCCTTCTCCGTGGCCATCCTGGTCTTTCCCATGCCAGCCATGGTTCCCAAAGTCCAGCCGCTACTCCAGATGCCGTTTTATAAAATTTTCCGGGCAGCCATTAGGCAAAAGCCAGGTTTATATGAATAAATTTGGTTATATGAAAAATTTCTTCGCGCCGTCTTAAACGGTGTGTGGGGCAACCACGGAAGCTTCGAAAATTGCTTTTTATTTGCAGATTTAGGCAAAGTTCTTTGGCATAAATTAATTTTCGAATGTTCGAAGGAAATATGTCCCAATATGTGAAACACATTGGTAGCAGTCGAGACTTACAAAGTTTTTTTTAAACAATTGTTGCCTTTGAAAATTTAAACATCATTTCAATTATTAAGCTCTGCCTGCAAAAGTGTTTATATAGTATGCCTTTGTATTATTTCAAAATACTATGCTCTTTGCTTGAACTTGTTACAAACATATTACAATACTTTTGTATGGACATTATTAAGTGCTCTGAGCATATGCAGAACGTGTTGGACATAGTTGAGACGCATAGATCTACAGCTGATGCAATATATTTGGAATTCACTTAAGTTGCAAAAAACGTTGCGATTGAAATAACTACGCCAAGAATTATAAACAAGAAAGCAAATAGAGCAAATCCTCAAATTACATCGGTACCTATTTCTTACCATAGAGCAATATATTTGCCATATATCGACTAACTTATATGTTCGGGGAAGCAAAGATTTGCAAAAAAAATAGTCCAGCATTTTTTTAACTGGTCCCAGTAATATAGAAAATTTAAATTTCATCCAGGCAAAAGCCAGTGATTTTTACAATTTGCACGGAATTGAACATGAAAAAGATGTGTGGTTCACACTATGCCAATAACGAACGTTTACCCATTTGGTTTGTGTGTACAAAGAGTGGGAATTCTATCCGAGCATAGATATTATGCTAGCTCTGTACCACAGTTACTGTAAAACGGTCATTCAGTACTTTAAAAAGAAGAAAGACTTGGTTACGAGTTAAGATGACTGAATCACGCCTGAATGGTAAGTCAAATATTCTAAATTAATTATTGTTATAATATTCAATTTGTTCTTCGTAGGATTGCGTATACTCAGCGCACACAGACACCTGGTCAAGGAGAAAAATTCTGAGTTTCAATGAGACGTTCTAGAAGAATTCGGGAAAAATCCCCGAAGACTTCTAATATAATAAAGATATAATACAGAAAAACATGATTAAATTAAATGACTCCCAGTACACATACAAAGTGTTCAATTAACTGGAAAAAATTTCGCTTAAAATTTAATTTAATCGTAACAAATATTTCATTTTGTATTTCTAATTCATATTTGTTGTCTGGACGTTGATATGTTATGACTGCACCATCAAGTGGCCCATGCGACACCAAAACGAAGACTGTTACGCGCGGAACCCAGGCAGAAACGCAGCCCCTCTTCTCACCCAAACGACCGAGGGGCAATGCCGCATGACGCGCGACGCGTGTTACCGAACCAATCGCGAGCATGCAGGAAAGATAGGTGTTAGACTAAAATTCGAGGAAAATTAGAGCTAAACACAACTGAATGAGCTAAACATGCAAAGATAGCTAAGAAATAGTAATAATTACGGGAAAGGTATGTAAGACTTAGTGATTTAAGAAGCCCGAGCATAGGACCTTTAATTGTTCGTGCAAGGAATAATTTGATCTACAAAGTGGAAGTAACAATGGATAAATGTTTCTAGTAGATCTAATAGGAATCGTAAAGTTTACGCGGCTCAACAGGGCTATCTACGTCACCCTTCATCAGGTTGTGCATAAAAATCACACCAAGCATTTTTCTACGACTAACTAAGGCTGGAAGGTTTATTAAAAGCAATCTACGAGGGTAAGATGGCAGTCTCACACTCGCATCCCAGTTAAGGCCACGCAGAGTAAAGAGTAAAAAGTTTTTCTGAACTTTTCCTATACACAAGTGCCGTATTCTAACATCGGACGAACTAGCGAGATATAGAGAGTATTCGTTATGTAGGGATCGTCAAACTCCTTTGACCACCTTTTTATAAACCAAAGCACGCCCATCGCCTTATTTACCATGGTAGAAATGTATTCAGAAAACTTTAACTGGGGTCTAGTTTAACACCAAGATCATTCACCAAGTGAAATTAAATATCCTTATACTGGGTACAGAGTGTTACATCATCCGCATACATGAGTACTCGGGAGTTTGTTAATACTGAAGGCAGGTCATTAATTAAGAGTGTGAATAGTAGGGGGCCTAGATGGCTGCCCTGTGGTACTCCAGAAGTAACCATAACAGGTGAAGAGAGGGAGTTTTTGAAGAGGACTATTTGAGACCTAGAACGAAGGTAGCTAGAAATCCATCTCTAAAGATTAGGCGGAAACCCTAAAAGGTCAAGTTTTTGTGCTAAAAGGGAATGGTTTACAGAATCGAATGCTTTACTGAAATCAAAGTAAATGACAGAGGTAAACTCTTATAAATTTGTGGTTGTTGATCGTCGCCTTAAAAATCCTTGCTGAGACGGAGATATAAGTGATTTGCTCCGCAAATGCGGAGTTAAAATTTTTTCAAACATTTTAGGAATAGCGGATAACTTAGATATGCCTCCAAAAATTATTTTCATCAGACTTGGTACCTTTCCTATGGAGCGGAATAATAAAAGATTCCTTCCAGATGGGGGGAAGCATGAAGAGTTAATGGATAGGGTGAATAGTTTAAGGGGTCCACACAGGGCGTCGGCACAGTACCTGAGTACACAGCCGGGAACTCCGTCGGGACATGATGAAAACACCGGCTTAACTAGTCGAAGATCATGAAGCAGTGAGCTTTCATTTAACAAGGGGCTGAAAATGCCATTCGACCTTGGTAAACTGTATAGATACGGCTGACCAGAGTAGCTTTCATGAGAATATGTTGTTTGGAAAAATTTGGCAAAAAGATCGGCAATTGCCTGATCATTGTTTGCTGACATATTGACAAATGAAAGCGAGGATGGATGTGCGGACGTTCTACGCTTAATATTTACGAAGCTGTAAAACTGTTTAGGGTCCTGTGAAAATAGTATCCTGCATCGAGATAGGTAGTTTTTATAGCATTGAGCGTTAAGAACGGAGAAATTTTACCGAGCTATTACATAGCGAGAAAGAAAAGAGGGAGAACCAACTTCTCGAAATTTTTTATATAGTCTTGATTTTAATTTTTTTAGACTGGATAACTCTTTGGTAATCCAAGGAGGCTTTCCAGATCTAACCGGACAAGAAAGTGGGACACAGGAGTCAAAAAGTGTTTCAAGTACATTCTCAAAAATGTTTGTGCCTTTCATAACGTCAGTACACAAGTACAGAGCAGACCAATCAAAATCCCTAATGAGGTTATTAAGCTTCGTAAACTCGGCTTTACGAAAGCAGCGGACACGTTCAGATAGCCTACCCGTTCGATCCAATACAGTAGACCCAATATCGACCAGGAGTCTTCAGGTATAGTGAGCGGAAGGGCTCGGGTTATCAACGCTATGGTCGGATCCGTGACAATGCACAGATCAAGCAATCGACCCAAGGAATTTTTCACATGGTTCACTGGAGACAGGGATAGGTCAAGCAAGCCGTCGATAAAGTCATGTCGTGACATGGGCACAAGGTTATTAGACTCGTTTACCGAAGACCAAGCAGTACCTGGCAAATTGAAATCACCAAGAACTATCATATGGTCTTTATCTGATAGCGAGGAAGAAACAGTTTTTAAAGCGGACTGGTGATGCTCGTATACCAGGATATCCGAGGAAGGTTGAACATAGGAGCAAGTAATGCAAATGAAAAAGCCTGGGAAAATCAGTTTTACGCACAGGAATTCCAGGTCTTGTTGAACCTGGACCATGAAATGTTCCGACGTGAAGTTTGAGTCCACTGCAATGAGGACCCCACCTCCACGTCGAGACAAACGGTCATTTCAAAAAATTGTGTACCGACCTGCCAAAACTTCGGAACTAAGGATGTCCGGCTTTAACCAGGTCTCGGTAAACACAATAACGTGGGACGAGAATGCGAGACTTTCAAGAAAAAGAGTGTTGAGCCACTAACCATACAGTATTTTCATTTTCTTTCTCGTTACACACATTTTGCCTCGTGCCTCGCGCCATCTGGTGGAGCAGATGTATAATCAAACAAATTTAAGCTGATAAAATTAGCAACTGAAATTAATTTCTTCATTCTGGTTATAATAATGATTTGATCTAACCCAGATTCGACAATCTGGTAGATATTTTCAGTTTCTACGATACTGCGTTTTTAATTTTATCGTATATTCTAAATTGGGGATGCCATAGATTTTCGCCCTTTCTGGTGGCGGAAGGAGTGGTGCGAAATTTTAAAATACACTTGTAACAGTGTTATATCACATGAGACTGCAAACAATATTTGGTTTAAAGGACTTGTTTTAGAGATATGTATTGTATGCACTACCTTCTGAGCACCGAAACAAAGCTCCTGGCTCGTAGATGCAATATCTGTATGATTTGGTGAGAAGCCACAGAGATCAGCAGAGTCTTTTAAGCTAACAGAGCCCGTAACAGAAAGAGAGACCAGAAGCTGCCGTCGAAAGAATAGAGGAGAGAACAAGAGTTCATCGATGGACGCCATTTTATTCGGTGCCAAAGTGTCTCTCGCAAACACATAAAAAGTCAAGCGAGGCGTTCAATATTATATCCAACATTATAACCTCGTTTTAAACATACACCCATTGTATTCAAAACAAATATCTAATAATAATACGAATACGGAAAACCCAGGGCCACATACCTTACAAAGTGAGTTGTAGAATGGCACAAGTATGTTGCTTACTAAATAAAAAATGAATAACCAAGTAAACGTTCAGTGTTCATGGTAAATTAGTTCTATGGTATATATAATACTAAATAATAAAAGTGAGTTTCTGATATGTGGGTTTTTTTTTTTGTATTTAATATAAAAATTTACAATTAAACAATTACAATTTTTTTAAATTTAAAACTGCCATTAAAAGACATAATGGGATCTGTTATGTAGAAATATCAATCTTTCTTTAATTCATTAGGCTATCTAAAAATTCTAGCATTTCGCCGTACATGAGATTCGTGAAGGCAATAAACATAAAATGCTCAGTGCCATAACTATATGCCATATTGAATGAATAATGTGATAGTTTTGCTTCGTTTGCAGAAAAGCATAACACACTAATCCTACACAGACCAAGCAAATGCCAAAAGGTAGCCAAACTGTCAAGTAGCGACGAGACGGGTACATTTTGCGGGTTTTGGCACAGCGAATGCCCCAGCTGGTCGAAATTAGGCAGATTCCAGTCAAGGCTGGTGCGAGAAAGACCCATAGGCTCTGTTTATTAAGCTCTGTTCCAAATGCTAGTAGAATAGCACCAAACATATGCAAAGGAGCCGCAAGCTGTTGTCGGATGTCGGCCATAGCCACAAGTGTTACCCAGATAGCCAAAAGTCCGCAATAGAAATCGCAAAACTGTAACCCACCAATTTTTACCAGACAAAAACTATACTCCTCCTCGCCCGAATCGCAGGCATGGTAGAAAGTCGAAAAGAACATTGCAAAAAAATAAATGACGCCTTCTGTAAAGTAGCGGCGACTCAGAGCGACGTAAATGCTCGGAAAGAAAATCAAGTTACTTAAAGTTAGTAGCAAGGATGCAAGTAGGATGGACATATTTGTAGGAACCTGGGAATGTTCTGTACAGTCCCAGCCGCGATATCCCTTCATGCATACGCATGTGGAAAAAACAAAGCCGCCGGGCATGTAGTGATAACAGCGGCCAAAGTTGCCGCAACGTCCTGCCACGCAAGGGCTCGATGACACAGAAAATACCACTGAGGTGTTACAGTTATTGACTGCAACATATTCCTCCGTCGCAGTTTTGTGATGTATCTCAAATAGTCGTGCCATGTCGTCGTAGTTGGAAGTGCATTGATAATCCATCATGCACTCCTTCACTTTTAAAGTCTCCGTTTCATTCATTCCATCCAAGCAGTCTTTCGATTTTATACAGGCATCGTATTCTTTAGCAGCACTAGCACAGGGGCACGGAGAGCGCATTTCGTTCAGGAGGTTTTTATGATGTCCAACGAATTGTCTGATACTATCGATTGTTGTACTACGTGACGTTTTTGGTCCATGGCAGTAGAGTCCCATGGTCACATACCTAAAAACAAAATTGTATACTGTAAGTTAAAAAGAAAGTGGACTGTTTTTAGTGAACTATAAACTTGCCATCGTCCACTTTCAGGAAAGGGAACATGAATTAGACCAACGCTATCCGTGTTGTTTACTATTTTAGAGGCGTGTCTCAGACGCTGTCCGTACCGGCATTTATCCGGCCATATGGGAACTCCGGGCTCGCCCAATTGCATACAAACAACTATTTGTATGCTGTTATTATTGGATTTTATGAGTATTTGGTCTTCTGGCAGTTCAGTGTCTTCCCGATCGCTTATAAGTTTTTCAGCTAGTATGCCACCACGATCGGAGGCTGGCGAAAGTATGGGGGGAGGCATCTTTATATCCGAATTTGTATGGAGAGCATGCTTCATAGACACTGCGAATGTCAGTGTGCCCCCAATATCATTCACTTCGCCGAGGTCAAATGAGAATCCTGAAGCAGATTCTGTCGTTAAGTTAAGGACGCCAGGGACGGTGCCATTTTCATCTGGCTTGAGATCATAATCAAACATAAAGAACTCGCGATATGTTTGTCGCAGCAGTGAATAAAAGTTCATGTGACGAAAGCGCGTCGGCGTCCATGCGTTAAAGTTGTTGGTACCGTTTTCAGCATGCATGTTTTTTCTCTTTAACTCAGTGATAGGCTCTGGAAGATGAAAATCAATTTGCATAGCATACGATAAATTTTGGTCCGGCAGATCCAATTTTGGTTTATCAATGAGCTTTTTCAACAAACGAAGCTCAGATTCTAAGAAGCGATCGGTTGCTGCATCTCCTTCGGTCAGTGTGGCTTTTTTTCCTGTCCCATTCTTAACTTCTTCCGCTTTGCTAACAAATGTCAGCTTGGCATAGTGCCATGTGCTCGGCTGCACACAAAATTGAATTGAGATTTCCTTCGTCTGATTTGACCGGATCACCTCACTGTGAATATTCTTCTGTTCGTCCTCGCTGTGTTCACTAACAATATTTTCCTCTGGGTATGCATTTGCTTGGACATAAAAACCAACATCTGGACAGTGTACGCACATTTGTACAAACGAGATACGGGCCCGTGGCAACACCAATGTCGTCAGGCACATAGAATTTGTACGTAATTTCATTGTTTCCGTTGCTTCTGTCAGTGTCGTGGCGTTTGTACGCATCGCTCTTCGACCCGGATGTGGGGTGATTGTGAGTGAAATTTTGAAGTTGAGCAGTCCTTTTGATTTTTATACCAAGAGCCTCTGATAAGTATTGTCTTTCCCCCAGATCTTTTAGTTTTTTTTGAGTACCATGCATAGAACGACTTTGGTCTTCAGCGCTTCGATTAACAGGATGCTCCATGGTCAGATTGGCTTGGGATGTGCTTTTGTTATGTGAAGTCTCGCTGTTTTCGATATAAGCTTTATGTAAGCTATTTGGGTCGTGAGAATTATCATTGTTCGTTAGATTTCCATTATGTACTTGACCATTACTTAAAATAATCGGGCGGAAGCGTGTCACCGACATCTCAGCCATCAATAACGTGTCGCATGATGCAGCGAGGCCTGAAAGTATGCAAAACAAGAACGATGTAATCTTAGATATACTCTGGATATATAGTTGATTCAAGAACCTGTGCAAAACCTCATTATGCACCTAATATATCCTCACATCTGATTTGAAACAGGATGAACGTTAGAGAACAGAGAGGTTCAAGACAAAGTAGACGCTCAGAATAGGAGCATTCTAAACAGCATAGATTGCAATTATTAGCAGGTTGGAAAAGAGTCCTAATCTAAAATTTAAAAAATTTGTATCATGGTGTTTGTGATTGAACTCCTCCCAAACAGCTCAACTGATTTTTATGACATTTTTTAAAATTTAATATGTACCACTCAAAGTTTTTTATTTTTGATTTTAGTATATTTGTTTAAACAATATCCAAATATCCTTTACAAATGTAAACATAATCAAGTATGCTTTGATGTGTTTTGACTCTCAAAGGTTTGCTTATAGCCATATGACATTAGACTTTGCTAACTGACTAGCTGGAAAAATAATGATGGCCTTATGGGAAATGCCTTCTGTCAGAGCGAGAGAACTATATGCGTCAAGCTGGCTGTCCAGCTTTATCGAAAATTGTACTTTGCGGATACAATTTTGCTGGCTTGGTGTCTGTGTTGCTGTACTCGCACTACTCGACAAAACTTAACTTTTTTTTTGCTTCGAACCAAACCGAATTTTTAAGAATTATGTTTTTTTTTTCTTTTGCTGAACTTTTTTTGATAAGTAGTATTTTTTTATATGCTTGTTTCAGAGGAAGCGCTTTTTTTTTACATAACTTAAGTATCTTACATCTGGTTGTAGTTAACTTTGCTATTCTAAAAAGCTGATAAATTCACCTATAAAATATATCTGAACACTTTCTAGCTTCAGCTTACCGTTTAGGAAATATTAAGCTTTTAAAAGCGAAATTTATAAATATTTTTTTGTGAATTTTTTTTCAATATATTGACTTTAACAACTCAGAAAAGTCGAAAAAAATATCCTGTGTCCTTATATTTTTTATGTGTAGGTGCATTATTTATAAGTCGTTTAAAGTATTGTTTGTTTTTATTTTTATTTTTTTAAAGAAATGGCTGATATAAAATTTGGTTAGGAACCCTTCGAAAATTACATTTTTCCGTTTGGAACGCAATAAAATGTAGTGTGATATCACATAAGTCTGGAATCAAAATTTGGTTGCTTTAGCTCCATAAGAGACTATAAGTCTCTGAGATCTAGCGACAAACAAAACGGACAGACATGGCCATATAGACTCGGCGATTCTGATCAAGAATATATATACATTATGGGGTCGGAAACGTTTCCATCTCTGCGTTACTAACATCCACTTATACACATCCACAATTACAATAGACCCATTACCTCTCCGAGTACGGGTATAAAAAACAACGAGAAGGAACGTGTGAGTCGCTTCTGGGGACGCGACTCTACTTATACCCGTACTCAGTCTGTATAAGTTAACACTCCCCACCAGCTGCAGGGTATCAGCGGAATTCCAGAAGTGGAAGACCTCTGATGCTGACTCAAGTGGACGGGGGTCCTCAAGTTACATTGTTGCATAAACATCCGCTGGAGAGCGGACCGTCGGCTCGAGGCGCTGAGGTTGCAGAACGTCGGCCCGCTGCATGGGCAGCGCTGCCGTCTGGGGGGCAACTTTAAGAATATCATTTTATATTTCATTTCTTGTACTTTAGAATTAATCTCATACTTGACCGAGCCAGTCGTGCCGGTAATAAACTTTAAAACGTAATCTCGTCTTTCCTTGCCGGTGGCCGAGCCCCGGTACATATAAACGGGATAAATAATATTTAATTGGCGCCCAACGGGTCAAAAGAACCCAAGTTAACGCGAGTATAAAAAGTGCTGAAGAATTCAACAATCAAAAGAAAATTCGAAATAAATAATAAAAGTGGAAAACATACCAACGAGTGCATCTCATGTTTTTACTTGTGTCAGTGAAATAAGAAAGATACCCCTAGTGGCCCAAAAGAAAATCTCCCGGTGGGAACAAACAAATCAACAGAAAAAGAATGAAAAATTAAAAAAGAAAATAAGTGAGAAGTTTTTTTTTGTTGTCAAACCCTAGTGGCCCTTAAAAGAAAAAAGCTCCCTGTGGGCACAAACAAATCAACAGAAAAGGAATGAAAAATTAAAAAAAAAATAAGTGAGAAGTTTTGGTTGTCAAACCCCCCCGCCCAAAAAAATACATCAGTGTGTGCAAATTTTTTTTGTTCTTCGCCAAAACCAAAAGGGCTACTGAAAAATACTTCTGTTTCATGTGCGCTACAACCAAGCATTAAGAATCAAAAAAAAAAAAATTACAAAAAAAACACCCAACTACGCGGGAGCTGACACCAGAGGAACAAACACAAGGAGCTGTAGGGAAATCCCTCGCTTCCACCCAATATCTACGAAGGAAAAAATAGGCTGAAGGGCCCTCCCTCGCCTCACCTTACCAAAAATCAACAAAAGTCTACGCGGGCTGCAGGGAATTCCCTCGCCCAGCCCAACCATCTCAGCGTGAAAGGCTCCCGACGCTCAACCGAAGACCAATAGGCAGGGGCTAGATCAGACTCCCTTCACCCTACAATCAGAGAACATGTAAGTGAATTTTTCATGTGTTAACATTTCCTATGTCAGTGATAACGCAATAAGTATCGATAACAGCGAAAGATCCGCTATTTTTGGCAAATTTTGGTCAAAATTTAAAGTAAACCGCGAATGAGCAAACACCCTTCGACCCGCGTTTTTAAGAATTAGGAACGTAAGATAAACCTTTATAGGGTAGTTCTGCCGAAACAAATCGCACCACATGAGCCATAGGGAGGGCGACAGCGACAGTGACGATAGCCTTAGTTCCCTCATAGAGGGGCTCGATTTAACAGCACTGGACAGTCGACCAGCAAAAGAAAAACCAAAAGACATGGACGTGACGTCATTCAACAATGCCTTACAGGCCGCATTAGATAATCAAGCCAAAGGTTTTCAGGCTCACTTAGAGCGACTACAAGACGAGGTGGCCCAAGCAAACCAGGCTGCAGCCCAAGCAAACCAGGCTGCAGCCCAAGCACAAGAGGCTGCAGCCCTAGCGGGCCAAGCTACTGCACTTCGTGCGGAAATGCTCGCACTGCGGGAACAAGTTAACCAATCGAGCGCAGGACCATCTGTGCCGGTAGTAGAGGTTTTTAAGAGTGCGGAAATTCTTCCCGGGGTCCAATGCGATCAGTGCTTGGACATGGTCAAGTCTTTACCAGACTTTGACGGCAAACAGCTGGAATACGTCGGTTGGCGCCAGGCAGCTATGGCCGCGTATTCGGTGTTCGAGCCTTACCAAGGCAGCTCCAAACACTTCATGGCCACGGGCATCATTAGGAATAAGGTTAAAGGAGCAGCGAACAATGTGTTGTCGTCCTTCAACACAGTGCTCAATTTTAAGGCCATAATAAACAGGCTATTCTACAAGCCGGGGAAAGAAAACTTCGTCGCGGACGCACTGTCCCGGCAGAATATTTACGCGCTGGGAAGCAGCGCACCGCGCTCAGACGCAGCAACGATCCACAGTGAAGTTTCAATGACTTACACGATAGAATCGTCTGAAAAACCTGTAAACTGCTTCAGGAACCAGATCATTCTGGAAGAGGCGCGCTTTCCCCTGAAGCAAATGTTTGTGCTCTTTGGGGAAAAAACGCGCCACATAATACATTTCCCAAACAGGGACGCTCTAATTGAGACCGTCAAGTCTCTGGTGAACCCACAAGTTGTGAACGCAATCCATTGCGAACTCCCAGTTCTAGCTTTCATACAGCATGAACTAGTAAAATCTTTTCCGGCGACGAAATTCTGGCATTGCAGGAATCTTGTCGCCGACATTGTCGACGATAATGAAAAAAGAGAAATTATCAACGTCGAGCACAACCGGGCCCATAGAGCCGCTCAAGAAAACGTCAAACAAATCATGTCCGACTACTATTCCCAAAAATGACGAAACTCGCAAGCGAAGTGGTCATGAATTGCAAAATTTGCTCCAAAGCAAAATACGACAGGCACCCTAAGAAACAGGAGCTAGGGCCGACACCGGTCCCCTCGTTCACGGGAGAAATGCTTCATGTCGACATATTTTCGACGGACAGAAAATATTTTCTGACATGTGTGGACAAATTCTCCAAATTTGCCATAGTACAGCCTATAGCTTCCCGCACCATAGCGGATATTAAGACTCCCCTCTTACAACTCATGAACATTTTTCCCAACACCAAACAGATTTACTGTGACAACGAACCATCACTAAGTTCAGAGACCATCAGATCGCTGTTGCACAACAATTTCGGGGTCCGCATCGCTAACGCGCCACCCCTCCACAGTACATCGAACGGACAAGTGGAAAGATTCCATAGTACACTCGTGGAAATCGCCAGGTGCCTTAAAATGGCCAAGGGAATCACCGACACGGTAGACCTATTCCTTCAAGCAACGGCGGAATACAATAGATCGGTGCACTCGGTCACCGACAAAAGACCCATCGACATCCTGCATGCAGTGGCTGCAGAAAGTAACAAAGAAGTTCAGAACAAAGTGCAAAAGGCCCAGATTGTACAAAACAATCGAGTCAACCAAGCACGGCAAAACAGAAACTTCAGTGTAGGCGAGAAGGTGTTGGTTAAAACCAACAGACGCCTGGGGAATAAGCTCTCCCCCTTGTATGTCGAAGAAACAATTGAAGCGGACTTGGGGACAACAGTCCTAATTAGAGGGAGGGTGGTCCACAAGGACAACCTCAGATAGATATCCCGACTAAATATAAGTTAATTTGGTGAAGGAATTATAGCTGTTATGGGTAGACACTACGACTAGGCTTAAGGAAAACGATTGGTGGCGGTGTTGTGTTAGTTTTATTCCCCATATTCATACGTATTTTATCTACAGGGTTATCTGGGTACTTCACATCCTCACCATAGTCGCGGCTCGCGTCACCGACTACTCAAACTCAAATTACATTCCCATCACGGACGGAACGGTACTGATATGGGAAGGGCTTGATTACGTCAAGCACACGGCAAATCTGACCGAATATGGTCGCATTGTCGAGGAAACCGCCAAAATGGCGGACCTATTCCCAAAATCGCACATGAGACAGTTGCTAGACGCGGACTGCAATCACATTAGAGATATGTTGTCCGATATCAGTATCCACCACAGGCTGGCGAGAAGTCTAGACTTCCTGGGAACCGCCCTTAAAGTAGTGGCCGGCACGCCAGACGCGTCCGATTTAGAAAACACCAGGTTTACAGAAGCACAACTGGTGCAAGCAAACAATAGGCAAATTCAGATAAACACCAAGGTTCAGAACCAATTAAATTCACTCACTAGCTTGGTAAACAAGATCATCAGCATAGAAAAAAAGGCACAAATCGACACAGCCCACTTGTACGAGACTTTGCTCGCTAGAAACAGAATTCTTATTACAGAAATAGGCAACCTGATGCTCACTATAACCCTGGCAAAGGCCAACGTAGTGAACCCGGCCATTTTAGATCACACTGACATAGAATCTGTTCTCACTGACCAATTCACAGGGGTCACAGTAGCAAACCTACTAGAAGTATCTAAGATTAAAATCCTACAATCTAATAACATAATCCACTTTATAATAGAATACCCTAGAGTTAGCATAGCTTGTAGAAAGGTGACGATATTCCCGGTTGAGCACGACGGAAAGGTACTGCAGATGACAGAGAACATTGTAGCTGAGTGCGGAAACCAGGTGTGGGCCGTCACGAGCTGCGCCCCCACAACCACCACCACGTTCTGCAAAAAGGAAGTAAGAGGTTCCTGTGCCCAGGGATTACACTCCGGGGGCACCGCTCATTGCCTTTCGCAACCGAGCCATCTGGAGCCCATCACCCTCGTCGACGACGGCATGATCATCGTCAATAACCGGCCGGCAAAGATCAGCTGTGACTCGGACACGGTGGTTACGACCGCCGGAACGCAGCTCATCACCTTCAATGACTGCGCAACCGTAAATGGCACCCGATTCCGAAATCGCAATAACATCCAACAGCGATTTCCAGGCATCGCATCAGTACCCGCTCTGAACATCTCCGGGCACGAGACTATCCTGAGCCTCCCGTTCTTACACCAGCTCAGCGAGGACAACCTCAACTACATCAAGGAGGTCGAGCAGGCCACCATGGCCAAGCTCAGCCCGCTCCACGCGTTTGGACTGGGCATGGCTCTGTGCGGAGCATTGGGGGGAATCATCTACCTCAGATTCCACCTCAATAGGAAGAGAGATGCGAGGCAAATCAAGGAGATGATAGACGGATTGAGAGCAGCGAGGACGCCCGCTCTTTAAGAGGGGGAGTAGTTAACACTCCCCACCAGCTGCAGGGTATCAGCGGAATTCCAGAAGTGGAAGACCTCTGATGCTGACTCAAGTGGACGGGGGTCCTCAAGTTACATTGTTGCATAAACATCCGCTGGAGAGCGGACCGTCGGCTCGAGGCGCTGAGGTTGCAGAACGTCGGCCCGCTGCATGGGCAGCGCTGCCGTCTGGGGGGCAACTTTAAGAATATCATTTTATATTTCATTTCTTGTACTTTAGATTTAATCTCATACTTGACCGAGCCAGTCGTGCCGGTAATAAACTTTAAAACGTAATCTCGTCTTTCCTTGCCGGTGGCCGAGCCCGGTACATATAAACGGGATAAATAATATTTAATTTATATACGTTTTTGAGCTAACGACTTTTTAGAATTAAAACAAAAAAAAAAATTTTACATTTTTTTGCTACATCTGTTATCTACATCTACATCTACAACGTATATTCCACATCTAACATGTAGATTGTACATGTACCATTTATATTCTACATCTCCTCCGCTAGGGGTTGCTCGCGCATTGAACGCGGCAGAGTGTGCGAGCGAGAAAGAGAATCAGTAGCGTCAGCAGCGCTGGAGAAGGAGAGGGAACCAACAGAAAATTCATTTCTTCATTCTGGCTATAATTATGATCCGATCTGATTCAGATTCGGCAATCTGGTAGATATGGTCATTTTCTACGATACTGCGTTTTTAGTTTTATGGTATCTGTAAAATTGTGCCTGCCACAGATTTTCGTCTTTTATGGGGGCGGAAGGGGGCGGGGCGAAATTTTGAAATACACTTGTAGCAGTGTGATATTACATGAGTCTGGAAACAAATTTTGGTTGCTCTAGCTCTTATAGTCTCTGAGATCTAGGCGCTCATCAAGACGGACAGACGGACAGACGGACGGACGGACGGACGGACGGACAGACAGACATGGCTATATCGACTCGGCTATTGATGCTGATCAAGAATATATATACTTTATGGGGTCGGAAACGTTTCCTTCTCTGCGTTACACACATCGACTTTTACCACAAATCTAATATACCCCTTAACTCTTTTTTGAGTACGGGTATACAAAAATTTCATTTGCTCTGCTCTCAAAGCATATCATTTAATTTTCTTCTGTTGCATTTGCTATAGTTTTTTAATTTTTCTGCTATAACTCTGCTTTGGCTCTGTTCAATGTGAGACCGGTAGCGAAAGCATGGCAATATTTATACAGCTCTTGCTTCTCCGACAAACAAGAAAGAAAAGAGGGAGAACCAACTTCTCGAAATTTTTTATAAAGTCTTGATTTTAAGTTTTTTAGACTGGATAACTCTTTGGTAATCCAAGGAGGCTTTCCAGATCTAACCGGACAAGAAAGTGGGACACAGGAGTCAAAAAGTGTTTCAAGTACATTCTCAAAAATGTTTGTGCCTTTCATAACGTCAGTACACAAGTACAGAGCAGACCAATCAAAATCCCAAATGAGGTTATTAAGCTTCGTAAACTCGGCTTTACGAAAGCAGCGGACACGTTCAGATAGCCTACCCGTTCGATCCAATACAGTAGACCCAATATCGACCAGGAGTCTTCAGGTATAGTGAGCGGAAGGGCTCGGGTTATCAACGCTATGGTCGGATCCGTGACAATGCACAGATCAAGCAATCGACCCAAGGAATTTTTCACATGGTTGACTGGAGACAGGGATAGGTCAAGCAAGCCGTCGATAAAGTCATGTCGTGACATGGGCACAAGGTTATTAGACTCGTTTACCGAAGACCAAGCAGTACCTGGCAAATTGAAATCACCAAGAACTATCATATGGTCTTTATCTGATAGCGAGGAAGAAACAGTTTTTAAAGCGGACTGGTGATGCTCGTATACCAGGATATCCGAGGAAGGTTGAATATAGGAGCAAGTAATGCAAATGAAAAAGCCTGGGAAAATCAGTTTTACGCACAGGAATTCCAGGTCTTGTTGAACCTGGACCATGAAATGTTCCGACGTGAAGTTTGAGTCCACTGCAATGAGGACCCCACCTCCACGTCGAGACAAACGGTCATTTCAAAAAATTGTGTACCGACCTGCCAAAACTTCGGAACTAAGGATGTCCGGCTTTAACCAGGTCTCGGTAAACACAATAACGTGGGACGAGAATGCGAGACTTTCAAGAAAAAGAGTGTTGAGCCACTAACCATACAGTATTTTCATTTTCTTTCTCGTTACACACATTTTGCCTCGTGCCTCGCGCCATCTGGTGGAGCAGATGTATAATCAAACAAATTTAAGCTGATAAAATTAGCAACTGAAATTAATTTCTTCATTCTGGTTATAATAATGATTTGATCTAACCCAGATTCGACAATCTGGTAGATATTTTCAGTTTCTACGATACTGCGTTTTTAATTTTATCGTATATTCTAAATTGGGGATGCCATAGATTTTCGCCCTTTCTGGTGGCGGAAGGGGGTGGTGCGAAATTTTAAAATACACTTGTAACAGTGTTATATCACATGAGACTGCAAACAATATTTGGTTTAAAGGACTTGTTTTAGAGATATGTATTGTATGCACTACCTTCTGAGCACCGAAACAAAGCTCCTGGCTCGTAGATGCAATATCTGTATGATTTGGTGAGAAGCCACAGAGATCAGCAGAGTCTTTTAAGCTAACAGAGCCCGTAACAGAAAGAGAGACCAGAAGCTGCCGTCGAAAGAATAGAGGAGAGAACAAGAGTTCATCGATGGACGCCATTTTATTCGGTGCCAAAGTGTCTCTCGCAAACACATAAAAAGTCAAGCGAGGCGTTCAATATTATATCCAACATTATAACCTCGTTTTAAACATACACCCATTGTATTCAAAACAAATATCTAATAATAATACGAATACGGAAAACCCAGGGCCACATACCTTACAAAGTGAGTTGTAGAATGGCACAAGTATGTTGCTTACTAAATAAAAAATGAATAACCAAGTAAACGTTCAGTGTTCATGGTAAATTAGTTCTATGGTATATATAATACTAAATAATAAAAGTGAGTTTCTGATATGTGGGTTTTTTTTTTTTGTATTTAATATAAAAATTTACAATTAAACAATTACAATTTTTTTAAATTTAAAACTGCCATTAAAAGACATAATGGGATCTGTTATGTAGAAATATCAATCTTTCTTTAATTCATTAGGCTATCTAAAAATTCTAGCATTTCGCCGTACATGAGATTCGTGAAGGCAATAAACATAAAATGCTCAGTGCCATAACTATATGCCATATTGAATGAATAATGTGATAGTTTTGCTTCGTTTGCAGAAAAGCATAACACACTAATCCTACACAGACCAAGCAAATGCCAAAAGGTAGCCAAACTGTCAAGTAGCGACGAGACGGGTACATTTTGCGGGTTTTGGCACAGCGAATGCCCCAGCTGGTCGAAATTAGGCAGATTCCAGTCAAGGCTGGTGCGAGAAAGACCCATAGGCTCTGTTTATTAAGCTCTGTTCCAAATGCTAGTAGAATAGCACCAAACATATGCAAAGGAGCCGCAAGCTGTTGTCGGATGTCGGCCATAGCCACAAGTGTTACCCAGATAGCCAAAAGTCCGCAATAGAAATCGCAAAACTGTAACACACCAATTTTTACCAGACAAAAACTATACTCCTCCTCGCCCGAATCGCAGGCATGGTAGAAAGTCGAAAAGAACATTGCAAAAAAATAAATGACGCCTTCTGTAAAGTAGCGGCGACTCAGAGCGACGTAAATGCTCGGAAAGAAAATCAAGTTACTTAAAGTTAGTAGCAAGGATGCAAGTAGGATGGACATATTTGTAGGAACCTGGGAATCTTCTGTACAGTCCCAGCCGCGATATCCCTTCATGCATACGCATGTGGAAAAAACAAAGCCGCCGGACATGTAGTGATAACAGCGGCCAAAGTTGCCGCAACGTCCTGCCACGCAAGGGCTCGATGACACAGAAAATACCACTGAGGTGTTACAGTTATTGACTGCAACATATTCCTCCGTCGCAGTTTTGTGATGTATCTCAAATAGTCGTGCCATGTCGTCGTAGTTGGAAGTGCATTGATAATCCATCATGCACTCCTTCACTTTTAAAGTCTCCGTTTCATTCATTCCATCCAAGCAGTCTTTCGATTTTATACAGGCATCGTATTCTTTAGCAGCACTAGCACAGGGGCACGGAGAGCGCATTTCGTTCAGGAGGTTTTTATGATGTCCAACGAATTGTCTGATACTATCGATTGTTGTACTACGTGACGTTTTTGGTCCATGGCAGTAGAGTCCCATGGTCACATACCTAAAAACAAAATTGTATACTGTAAGTTAAAAAGAAAGTGGACTGTTTTTAGTGAACTATAAACTTGCCATCGTCCACTTTCAGGAAAGGGAACATGAATTAGACCAACGCTATCCGTGTTGTTTACTATTTTAGAGGCGTGTCTCAGACGCTGTCCGTACCGGCATTTATCCGGCCATATGGGAACTCCGGGCTCGCCCAATTGCATACAAACAACTATTTGTATGCTGTTATTATTGGATTTTATGAGTATTTGGTCTTCTGGCAGTTCAGTGTCTTCCCGATCGCTTATAAGTTTTTCAGCTAGTATGCCACCACGATCGGAGGCTGGCGAAAGTATGGGGGGAGGCATCTTTATATCCGAATTTGTATGGAGAGCATGCTTCATAGACACTGCGAATGTCAGTGTGCCCCCAATATCATTCACTTCGCCGAGGTCAAATGAGAATCCTGAAGCAGATTCTGTCGTTAAGTTAAGGACGCCAGGGACGGTGCCATTTTCATCTGGCTTGAGATCATAATCAAACATAAAGAACTCGCGATATGTTTGTCGCAGCAGTGAATAAAAGTTCATGTGACGAAAGCGCGTCGGCGTCCATGCGTTAAAGTTGTTGGTACCGTTTTCAGCATGCATGTTTTTTCTCTTTAACTCAGTGATAGGCTCTGGAAGATGAAAATCAATTTGCATAGCATACGATAAATTTTGGTCCGGCAGATCCAATTTTGGTTTATCAATGAGCTTTTTCAACAAACGAAGCTCAGATTCTAAGAAGCGATCGGTTGCTGCATCTCCTTCGGTCAGTGTGGCTTTTTTTCCTGTCCCATTCTTAACTTCTTCCGCTTTGCTAACAAATGTCAGCTTGGCATAGTGCCATGTGCTCGGCTGCACACAAAATTGAATTGAGATTTCCTTCGTCTGATTTGACCGGATCACCTCACTGTGAATATTCTTCTGTTCGTCCTCGCTGTGTTCACTAACAATATTTTCCTCTGGGTATGCATTTGCTTGGACATAAAAACCAACATCTGGACAGTGTACGCACATTTGTACAAACGAGATACGGGCCGTGGCAACACCAATGTCGTCAGGCACATAGAATTTGTACGTAATTTCATTGTTTCCGTTGCTTCTGTCAGTGTCGTGGCGTTTGTACGCATCGCTCTTCGACCCGGATGTGGGGTGATTGTGAGTGAAATTTTGAAGTTGAGCAGTCCTTTTGATTTTTATACCAAGAGCCTCTGATAAGTATTGTCTTTCCCCCAGATCTTTTAGTTTTTTTTGAGTACCATGCATAGAACGACTTTGGTCTTCAGCGCTTCGATTAACAGGATGCTCCATGGTCAGATTGGCTTGGGATGTGCTTTTGTTATGTGAAGTCTCGCTGTTTTCGATATAAGCTTTATGTAAGCTATTTGGGTCGTGAGAATTATCATTGTTCGTTAGATTTCCATTATGTACTTGACCATTACTTAAAATAATCGGGCGGAAGCGTGTCACCGACATCTCAGCCATCAATAACGTGTCGCATGATGCAGCGAGGCCTGAAAGTATGCAAAACAAGAACGATGTAATCTTAGATATACTCTGGATATATAGTTGATTCAAGAACCTGTGCAAAACCTCATTATGACAATCCTAATATAGCATCACATCTGATTTGAAACAGGATGAACGTTAGAGAACAGAGAGGTTCAAGACAAAGTAGACGCTCAGAATAGGAGCATTCTAAACAGCATAGATTGCAATTATTAGCAGGTTGGAAAAGAGTCCTAATCTAAAATTTAAAAAATTTGTATCATGGTGTTTGTGATTGAACTCCTCCCAAACGGCTCAACTGATTTTTATGACATTTTTTAAAATTTAATATGTACCACTCAAAGTTTTTTATTTTTGATTTTAGTATATTTGTTTAAACAATATCCAAATATCCTTTACAAATGTAAACATAATCAAGTATGCTTTGATGTGTTTTGACTCTCAAAGGTTTGCTTATAGCCATATGACATTAGACTTTGCTAACTGACTAGCTGGAAAAATAATGATGGCCTTATGGGAAATGCCTTCTGTCAGAGCGAGAGAACTATATGCGTCAAGCTGGCTGTCCAGCTTTATCGAAAATTGTACTTTGCGGATACAATTTTGCTGGCTTGGTGTCTGTGTTGCTGTACTCGCACTACTCGACAAAACTTAACTTTTTTTTTGCTTCGAACCAAACCGAATTTTTAAGAATTATGTTTTTTTTTCTTTTGCTGAACTTTTTTTGATAAGTAGTATTTTTTTTATATGCTTGTTTCAGAGGAAGCGCTTTTTTTTTACATAACTTAAGTATCTTACATCTGGTTGTAGTTAACTTTGCTATTCTAAAAAGCTGATAAATTCACCTATAAAATATATCTGAACACTTTCTAGCTTCAGCTTACCGTTTAGGAAATATTAAGCTTTTAAAAGCGAAATTTATAAATATTTTTTTGTGAATTTTTTTTCAATATATTGACTTTAACAACTCAGAAAAGTCGGAAAAAAATATCCTGTGTCCTTATATTTTTTATGTGTAGGTGCATTATTTATAAGTCGTTTAAAGTATTGTTTGTTTTTATTTTTATTTTTTTAAAGAAATGGCTGATATAAAATTTGGTTAGGAACCCTTCGAAAATTACATTTTTCCGTTTGGAACGCAATAAAATGTAGTGTGATATCACATAAGTCTGGAATCAAAATTTGGTTGCTTTAGCTCCATAAGAGACTATAAGTCTCTGAGATCTAGCGACAAACAAAACGGACAGACATGGCCATATAGACTCGGCTATTGATTCTGATCAAGAATATATATACATTATGGGGTCGGAAACGTTTCCATCTCTGCGTTACTAACATCCACTTATACACATCCACAATTACAATAGACCCATTACCTCTCCGAGTACGGGTATAAAAAACAACGATGAAGGAACGTGTGAGTCGCTTCTGGGGACGCGACTCTACTTATACCCGTACTCAGTCTGTATATACGTTTTTGAGCTAACGACTTTTTAGAATTAAAACAAAAAAAAAAATTTTACATTTTTTTGCTACATCTGTTATCTACATCTACATCTACAACGTATATTCCACATCTAACATGTAGATTGTACATGTACCATTTATATTCTACATCTCCTCCGCTAGGGGTTGCTCGCGCATTGAACGCGGCAGAGTGTGCGAGCGAGAAAGAGAATCAGTAGCGTCAGCAGCGCTGGAGAAGGAGAGGGAACCAACAGAAAATTCATTTCTTCATTCTGGCTATAATTATGATCCGATCTGATTCAGATTCGGCAATCTGGTAGATATGGTCATTTTCTACGATACTGCGTTTTTAGTTTTATGGTATCTGTAAAATTGTGCCTGCCACAGATTTTCGTCTTTTATGGGGGCGGAAGGGGGCGGGGCGAAATTTTGAAATACACTTGTAGCAGTGTGATATTACATGAGTCTGGAAACAAATTTTGGTTGCTCTAGCTCTTATAGTCTCTGAGATCTAGGCGCTCATCAAGACGGACAGACGGACAGACGGACGGACGGACGGACGGACGGACGGACAGACAGACATGGCTATATCGACTCGGCTATTGATGCTGATCAAGAATATATATACTTTATGGGGTCGGAAACGTTTCCTTCTCTGCGTTACACACATCGACTTTTACCACAAATCTAATATACCCCTTAACTCTTTTTTGAGTACGGGTATACAAAAATTTCATTTGCTCTGCTCTGAAAGCATATCATTTAATTTTCTTCTGTTGCATTTGCTATAGTTTTTTAATTTTTCTGCTATAACTCTGCTTTGGCTCTGTTCAATGTGAGACCGGTAGCGAAAGCATGGCAATATTTATACAGCTCTTGCTTCTCCGACAAACAACCTTTCCGTTGACCGACGATACTGCAACCTAAATTCGTGCTTGAATTTAATGCCTCCTAGCATCCACCTGGAAATCAAAGGACACATGGCCGCACCAAGAATACATACAAAGTTCTTCTCTATTAGAAACGCAAAAAGCAGCCACATCGACATCGTTATAGACCTATAAATCTATCCTCTCACCCCCAACAAAAACTCGCAAGATTCCTAACACCGACACTATTTTTTCGCTTCTTACCAAACCAACTTTTTTTAAAAAAGATTTGAGGATTTACCAATTCTTAATTACATTTTTTTTAATGCATAACTTTTTTTTAAAGAATAAAAAAAAATGCTATTTTTAGTATTGCTTTTTTTTTAGAGGTAGCGCCTGTTTTATTTACATAACTTAATAATATTAAAGTTAGTAAACTTAACCATTTTGAAAAACTAATAAATAAAGCTATAAATTAAATAAACTATTTGTGGTTTTAGTTTACCGTCTGGGAATTATTAGGCTTTAAAACGTAAAACTGATGATTTTTTTGCGTTATTTTTTCAAAAATTTGACTTTAAAAACTACGGAAAAGTCGAAAAAATGTATTTAGAAACAACTTAGCTCCAAAAAATAACATTTTTTTAAATTCTTAAAAAAAAAGGTATGCCGTAGAAAATATTATTTAATTTTCACAAAATGTAAAGCCCTAAGACTATCAGAAAAAGTCGGTTTGGTTTGAAGCGTAAATAAAAAGTTCAATTTTGTCGAATCGTGCTACCAAACACATCGCTAAATAATGAGAGCAGCATAAGCCAATACATTTGTTGACTCATAATGGATGAATTAGCATTACTTATTTAAAATTTTAATTTGTTTACCTTGTTGCTCAATGCGATCATTATTTGGATCTGTCCAACTGACAAATGCTACGGCAAACCAGCTACCTATGTGAGGACCCTGTATATCAATACGTTGTTGCAGCTCATTGGACTGGAATTGTAGGCTATAAACTTTAAACCTGTAACAAAATTGGAATAAAAATAAACACCAGAAAGAAGGGATAGCTTCGGTGACCGAAGCTTTTAATACCCTATTACAAGGCGTTACAGTTATATTGTTATGATTTACCGACAAGTAGGATCAAGTGGATAATGTGTCACATTGGTGTTGTTCTTCCCGCCGAATTTTAAAATCTCCTTCTATAGAGTGCAGGGCATTCAAATAAGATGTGCTCTGATATTTACTCCAGGAGTCTATCTCTATTAGTTTAAATTTCTTAAGTTGATACCTCAGGTTAAAGATCAATCCCCCTTATATAACGAAACGTTTTTTTTTTTTAGCTAACGTGAACACGCGGGAAATTTTCGATAGCTTAAAAAATAATTCAACCCGAATATAGATTACGCAAAAACCGATAGAGTTATATAGCTGATGGTTACACATCCCCGTTAATAAAAAAAAGGTTTATCTGGAAAAGAGGAGAGTCTAACTATAGTTATAGCTGATAGCTATCAGCCATGCATATCTGCTGGTGTTATACTTTATTTATTATGTCATTGGACATCTATTTTCTATATAGATCTATTACTAGCGAACCCGGCAAACTTTGTCTCGCGCCAAGATAACGCCTTCAGATAAACTTCACTTCACAGTTTGAACACAGCTCAAATTTTAATATGATTTTTTTGAATGAAATCGAAATCAGGTATTCATTGAAGAACTTTGTCAAGGATTGGCCTTGTGATTTGTTAATCGTCATGGCGAAGACCAGACGAATCGTGAACTGAACTCGTTTAAACTCAAAGGTCATATCCGTTGGGATCATTGGAATTCACGGAATAAGAACTAACTCTCCTTAAAATTTGTCTTTGAGTACCGTCGCGTGAATACCATTACTCATCAGTTTTCTTATCACCAAGCGCGTTTCATCGCATAGTTTTGGTATAGTAGCCCAGCTTGTAACTCGGCGGACTAAGGTGCGTAGCAGCCCCTTCCTTCTAAGTATGCATTATCCAGGCAACTAAGTTCTCTGCCCGAACGGACTTTATCCTGACGAGCCTGAATTTGGACAAGAATTGGGGTGCCAGCTATCATTAAAGAGCCAGAGTCCACCTTTCATCGGCACACAGACAACGACTGCTACTCGACAGTTACCCCAAAGCGAGGTACAGATGCGAGGAGCAGTGCTGGGAGTGGATGTCGATTTTCAAAATAAATTTCACCTTACATTCCGATTGGACGTAAGCGTAACAGACGTAGTCCTAATCCAGATTCTTTGTATAGTGGGAGATAAAGTCTGTGGATTTTGGAAAAGGACTAAAAGCTCATTGTAGCCCCAAACTAAGGTTAAATCCGTACCTGCATCTTTCCCGAAAGCACTCAATCATCTATTTGCTTTATAATTTTAGCAACGGCGACAAACCGACGGCAAACTGCTGAAGTCCTACTTGGCTCACGATTAAAGTAATCCTCCAAGTCCCCTGGTACACAAGCTACCGACCTATACCCACAGGGCTTACCACACCCGATTGGGGAGCTCGGACATAAACGAAAGAATTGGGTCACATTACATCCTTTCTTTTCTAAAATGCAACAACAGTAATGGCTAAACAACCGTTTAGAAAGTTTCTGGCCCAACTGCCAGTGTAGTTCTTGACTTCAGTTTATAAAAAATATTAAAATAATAATAGTTAAATACAAAAAAATCGAACTAAGACGGTATTTAACTGTAAATGTGCTTTTAGCTCAGCCGTTTATATAACGGTATAAACGATACCTTAAACAACGCCTAATTAGTGCACCTATGAAAATAAAATATAAAAACACAAGAAATAATTTTTTTTCGGATATGTTCCTTTTCCTGAGTTTTTAAAGTCAAAATTTGGATTAAAATACCGACAAAAAATTATCAATTTTGCATTTGAAAGCTTAATATTTCCCAGACGGAAAACTAAAGCTACAAAGTGTTGATGTCCAATATATATCGCCGTTTATCAGCTTCTTAGAATATTAAAGTTCATTACAATTGGATGTAAGGTAATTAGAATTCGACCATCTTTAAAGATTTAAAAAAAATTTCTTTCCATATTCCATATTTGTTCTTGCAAAAACCAACCCTTCGGTGGGGTGCCACCTGAAAAGAAGTGAGGGTCCCTTCACTTAAAATACCCATTTTCTCGGGAGTCCAACGATAGAGCCGTAGTAATGTATGGGTAACATCTGTAGGATACATGCTCACAAAACGGGATACAAGCTGTAAACAGCTGCAAACCGCTCAAAAACAAAGCTGCTTGATCGATCAAACAGAGCGGATCTGATCAAAGATGAGCTCAATAAGTTGTCAACTCGGAGCTTTCGATCGGTTCAGTTTTTAGCAACGGTGTGCACGGAGCCTTATTATCACAAGCAAGTTTTGTTAAATCATTGTTCCTATGAACATTGCAGCTACAATATTGACCAATAGCAATTATGTATATTTGGCAAAGTACTAAAATAGCCACTACAAAAAAATGATATGATTTAGGTGGATGATATTTTTTTTACTTTTGACGACGGTAGTTTTCATAAGCTAGATTGGCCGTTTCAAATAGTGTGCCACAACTGGATACAGTTTTACGAAACAGACGGACAGACCTTATCAAATAAAATCGGCTGTCCAATCTAATGAAGATTATGATTCATAAGGCAAATCTTATCTTTTTCTTAGAATACTTTTATCAAAATTAAAATTCGAATTTCCTCAATCTTTTCACCATCTATAAAAAATAATCACTTTAAAAAGATAAGTTAAGATACGTTACGATAAGGGGTAACCCATTTAGACTTTTCCTTAAAATGTATAATGTATCATATGTACCTTTGCTCAGGGCTGAAAAAGTTCTTCGGAAATGTAATATTTTCAGGGCTAATTACTGGGTAGCTGCTTGCCTTCAGGTGCAACGTAACATCCTTAACTTTGCACTTCCGTTCTGAAAAGTATGGGTAAGTTATTACATAAGAAATTTCGAATGATTGTTTTACTAACGAAAAGCATTCTTAGATTCCTCAAATGCTTTAAAGGTAAAATAAGCATCTCGAGAATCCGGTGGAATACGGAAGTGCAAAATAGCTACATCCTTGTAGGATGTGTATTTGAGTAAAGAGTTTGACGGCAATCGGACGATCTGCTCGTGGTCAACTGGTATTTTAATTTCTTCAGGTTTTCCCTTCGAAAGTTCACTTGTCACATATTTATTCTCCATTGGTTTGGGTAGTACCTCAACTCTAGAATCCACAATGATCAGTCGATGGTCGATTATAAGTAGCGTAAAAACTACAAGAGGTACACAATTAGTACGGTAGATAGATGTCTCAATCATCATTTATTAATGTAAGTTTCGAAGGGAGTATTCATTAGTAATCGTCAGCAAATCCGTTACATTAAGTCGCCTTTACTGGAATAGAAAAAAAAATTTTTTAATCATCATCAATGTCCGACACGTCTGTCTGTCTTGTTTAACGCCTAGATCTCAGATATTACAAAATCTAGAGCATTCGGATTGTGTGTTGACTCCTATGAGGATTCGGTAATCTCTAATTCCCAAAATTTTGTTTCATCCCCAATATTAAAGACACAAGAAAACCGAAAAAGCAGAATCATAAACATTTATCTTATCTAACGGATTTCAGAATCTGCTTGCGATCAGATGATTATAGCCAGAATGAAGAGTACACTTATCCCGACTCCCCTGACTCTACACACTCTTTCACACTCAATGTAGGTTACCAGTAAAGTGTTAGATTTCATGTCTGACTTGCACGTAAAGAAAGTGCATAGTATACGTTGTCTATGCAAAAATCTATTTCCTTCACTTACAGAAACACAGAAGTCTTAAGTTTTAGTGATTCGATGCTAGGGGTTCCAATTAGATACTGCTTCCACAACATATATGTATATGTACATATTAATTATATTTTTATTCTTTACCGTTTTTTATATATTTATATGTATATATCCTTAGGTTACTATTATTATGAATAAAAACGAGAAGGAACGTGTGAGTCGGGACGCGAATCTAAGTATACCCGTACTCAGTCAATATATACTTTTTGAAGCTTATATTTTTTAGAATTTTTGAATAAAAAAAAAAAGTCACATTTTTTTGCTACATCTGTTATCTATATCTACTATGTATATTCTACATCTAACATGAATACTATAAATGTACCATTTAGATTCTACATCTCCTCCGCTAGAGGGCGCTCGCATACAAAACGAGGCAGAGTGTGCAAGGGAGAAAGAGAATGAGTGGCGTGTCTCTTTCTGGTGGGGGCGGGGGAAGCAACTGAAAAAATTAATTTCTTCATTCTGATCCGATCTGATTCAGATTCGGCAATCTGGTAGATATGGTCATTCTCCACGATACTGCGTTTTCAGTTTTATCGTATCTTTAAAAATTTGTCTGCCACAGATTTTCGTCCTTTGTGGAGCGGAAGGGGGCGGGGCGAAATTTTGAAATACACTTGTAGCAGTATGATACCACATGAGTCTGGAAACCAAATTTGGTTGCCCTAGATCTTATAGTCTCTGAGATCCAACCGACAAACAAGACTCTAACAAATCTAATATACCCCTTAACTCTTTTTTGAGTATACGGGTATAAAAAAAAAATATGTTTCTACGATGCAACCATCTGGTCTCATCATGACACTCTGTACAAAGCTCCAAATGGATGGAAATGCAATCTTCGAGGCCTGGAAAATGTATCGTTTTCTACGTCTCTTATATGACATAGTCATATATATTTATAGCTGAGTAATGTAGAAACATTTTCACTTACAGATTGTTGAGTTTGGTCGGATTGTCTTTTAAAGAAACAATGTTTTTCCCAATAATATTTGTTTTATATGCTATAGTACTGATAGTACTTATAGCAGAAATTTAATTTAGTAGGAACAACACAAAAACACTGAGTTCATTGAAAGCGATACTCTAGACAACTGACGCTTGTAGATTTTGGTTTTACAATTCATTTTGGACCTGCTGTCTTATCAGTGCTATTGAGTTCCAATGAATTCATATTGCATTATTGTATACATACACATGTGTCTGTTCGCAAGCTTATCAGTCCCGTTATCAAATATTACCTAATACTTTCAAAATAAATATTGAATGTTAGTTTTCAGTTTTGAGAGTATTTTTGACTATAGATATTTTTTCTCAGCGTAAATTTTTGCGCTTATTACACTACTCGACAAAATCGAAACTTTTTCTTCCGCTGTGGACCAAAATGACTTTTTCTGATAGATTTTGGGACTTACAAATTTTTATAGTAGTATGTTTTTTTTTATGGTTTATTATTTTTTTAAGAATTTTTAAAATCTGGTATTTTTTATGTTTTTTTCCAGAGGTAGTGCTCTATTTTTCACACAACTTAAGTATTTTATATCTGATTGCATAGAACTTTACAGTTCTGAAAAGCTGACAAATGTAGCCCAGACACTTTGTAGCTGCAGCTCAACGTCCGGAAGATATTAAGCTTTCAAATTTCATTATTTTTTGCGGTATTTTTTCGCGAAATTTTGACTTTAAAAACTCAGGAAATATCGAAAAAAATATTTCTTGGCAAACATTTTAAGTTTTAGATAGATGCATATATTAGGCGTCTATGCAATCAGATATAAGATACTTAAGTTATGTGAAAAATAGAAGCACTACCTCTAAAAAATACATTTAAAAAATACCAGATTTTTAAAAATTCTTTAAAAAAAAACTAAACCATAAAAAAACCATAATTCGTTAAAAAAAATTTAAGTACCGAAATCTATCAGAAAAAGTCATTTTGGGTCGCAGCGTAAATGTCGTGTTGACTAGTTTTATATAAAATTTATTAATGAGAATCAGATAATAAGGGTTAAAAAAACCGATAGACCAGCTTCTTTTTAACTTAGTTTATTTTTGTATACATCTGAGGAGGATTTGTTTTTTGGGATTCCACTAATAACTGTCCATGCAAATGACGTCCCAAAGTCTACAATTAAATGGTACCGTTCAAATCAGAAAGTTTCGTCGGTAGTTATGAACGGAAAATAAATTTTTTTAGATGTGAAGCGGTACCAACATATATTAAGCTAATAACCAACTGCTTGGCCATCTCTTGAATAGATTTTCGTAATTTTACTGTTGTATGTCAGTTGCAATGGATTGAAGATTTATTATTTAGCTTTAATCCGTCTACATATGTATTTATATGCTTTAAGCATTAATTGACTATATACCTATTTTCTACTGCTAGTTTGGAAGAAATAAAAAATGCACTATTTCAGTTTGCATGACATTTCTACTTTGCTAGGTGTTGTCACTGTCGCTAAAGGATAGCCTGCAATTTTTTATTTTGAGAGGGTAAAGGATCTTATACATCCTTGAGATCTGTTAAACTTATTTATTTGATAGATCCTAGTTTAGGAAGTATTGTCCATCCGGACGTTGATTTGAGATATTTTCCAATAAGATTATGGCCCCAGTCAGGCCAATCGATTCCGATATAATTATCTGTTTATTCAGTTTATCATTATATACACACTCGTACTTACACTCTAACGTCGGAGATGTTGATAAACACATACAAGTTATAAACGCTGCATACATTCTACATATATATTTAATCAAAATTACCAAACGTTAGTATGCTCAGTGCAGTTGATTTGTTTTGGTATTTGTTTGCCGTTGCCGTTGGTGACGCTGCTACTGCAATCGACCGCTACGATATTGCCCATTCGGAAAACAGATGTCTGCTTTGACTGATAAATAAAACTTCACAAAACTATAGTCACTATACAAACTATACGAAAATAACATTATTATTATCAGCTTATAAATTAATATATCTAAGCTACATTTGTTTTCCCTACTGAATCCTGAATCTAAAATTCGCTCTTCTGAATATTTGTTTATGTTTATGTACTCAAACAAAGACAAAAAGCATTCGATACTTGCCGATACCTTTATTTTCATTTTCAATTCAGACAGAGAGTCGATATAGTAAAAAAACATCTTATCGGTATTCTGTTTTTTTTTTTTTTTTGGTTTATAAACCAAAGACTTTAAAATAATTGAATAGCCCTTAATAAACGATAAAAAATTATTTTGATTTCTGAACATTCGAAATAAGAAGTAAATAAAAAATCGACCTACTTTTCTAGGCTCCCAAAAAGAATAATATTAATTTGTTTTTATATAAATACTTTGCAATCCAGCAAACATGGAGACATGGAGAAATGGAGTCGAAGCAGATCTTCCGCTGGTAATTTTTGTATTTTACATATTCGAACAATTGGAATTGGGGCGAAAATTCTGTTTTTTCAGAGCATGGTATTCCAATAACATTTAACTTGGCCGGATTGTTTATTGTTTGTTACTACACACTTACATATACATATATCCATACGACAAATACCAAAAATGTACAAAATGTATATTTTAAATATTTTTGTTTTATTTGGAGCACCATGTCTATCCGCAAAAGTAGATGTGATTCCCCTTATTTTTGTTGTGCTGTTAATACAAAGTAGAAAGGGAAGGGTCCGAAGATTTGAACATTCAGACATAAAAGAAAACAAAATTAAAAGAGATTGAAAGAGCCTCTTATATTTCTAATAGAAATTTGTAATCGCAAGACTCTTGTTAAAACAACAAATAATCAAATATAAAATGAATGAAAGAGGGCTAGAAAATATCTAGTAATGGTTAAATTTGGATTTACCATTACTAGAGGTGTCATCACGCCTGACAAAGAGCATTTATTTTTATTGAATCTGCGCTGTCGATTAAGTGTATTAAAGTTTGTATTTCAACAAATCCCATCAGGTGAACTAACTTGAATAAAAATCGAAAGCCCTAAAGAAGTTCTAGCTGATACATATATATTTTTTTTTAATTCTTTATCTTAAGTTTTAACTGTATGAAATTCGTAAGTTAGATTTCTTTAATTTATAATACTGAGTATAGGGCTACCTAATTACGAAGCAAAAAGAAACCTTTGGAAAATCTTTTACAAATGAATTGTAAAATTATAATAAAAGTCTCTTAGTTGAATTTGTAGAATTTTGTTCAAAAACTAATGAAAAAACCGTACATATTGTAACGAATAGGAAAATCCAGTAGGGCGACAACACCCGAAATTCTCTCGAAAATAATGTCTGCCTGAATTGCCAAAATGTAACTCTCTGTTTATATTCGTCTATTCAGAAATACAGATTGTAGAAACGTAACAATATAACCATGATTGCTTGCGTTACACAAACAATTTTCTTATAGTTGATATATAGAGAGAAAGAGAGAGATCCAAAAGAGAGAAGCAAAAGTTCGTTGCTTTTTAAGACAAAACAAGTTTTTGGTTTGAGAGTGTGCGAAGTTATTGACGCTAGTCTGGGCAGACAGTTCGTTCTTCGAACTGTTGCCGAGCTGTTGTTCGTTCCGAGCTGTCAAACGGACGCGTCCGTTCGCCCATGGCCCTCGCTGGCATTAAGTAATACGGAGCCCGAGAAAGTTTTGTGAATACCAGTTTGAGTTTTATTTGTGTACAATTTTAATGGGGAATTCTTCATAGAAAAATACCCAACCAAATATAAAAGTACTAACACTTATGGTTAGCATGAATAAAAATTAGTACTGTAAGAGCATTCCAGTCCGACATAAACGTGCTTTGAGCTGTATCGAAAACCATCAAATACGTATTTAAATGTATGTACATATGTGTATAAACTTTTTCTGAGTGTGAGCATGTGGTTCAGAGACAATGAAGATACATTTTATAGCATTTGGATTGAATCAATTTAAAAAACAACTTACAAAAAATGTTTTTAAAAATACATAAATGTATGTACTTGTACATATGTACATATGATGAATGCTGCCCAGTTATGCCGTCGCTCTCTCTTTACCCTCTCCCGCACACTGCATATGTGTATAATATATATAGTCGCACATAGCTCTTACTTCTTATACAATTCATACATACATATGTTTGTATATATGTACTAGAACATTGATATTCGTTTCGTTATTGCCCAGTTTGTTTTACTATTGCGCCATGCACCCGATGCTCCATGTGTTAAAAAGAGAAATCGCGGACCCGTATTATTAAGCGTATGTACATACACACACATATATATGTATGTACACATGTACGCATTTTCTTCAAGCTTGCTGGAAATATTTTAATGAAAAAATCCGTTCCGGACATGGCTATATCGACTTTTCTATTCATGCTGATTAAGAGTACTTACATACATATATACATATGTATGTACATATGTCAAGCTACGTTTTTTATGTGTGGTGTCGAATATGTTTCCTCTTGTGCTTTATTAAATATAAAAACAACATAAAACTGCGTTCAAAGCTCCACCCGTACACAATCGCGACCACAGTGCTCCCCTAAAAGTGTGTGATTTCTTTTATTTTTAAGGTAATGGTCCCAATGATATCATCTTGTCAGATTCTTTTAGACATCTAGCAAACTTCGCCATGGATTTTCAGCATAGCCACATTCAGAATCACCAGAGCCGCTCGAAACTCTGTAAACAACACATTTTTACATGTAGAAGGAATTTATCCTTTGCCATATTGATAGCTACAGCTGGAGTTTTATCTATAATATCCAAAGGTAAGAACATTTATTTTAAGAACTGTTTATGGAAAATTAAGTTAGAAATCAGTTGAAATAAAGTGGCAAAAAGTCTATGATATATACAATTTTTGTATAACTGTAATGAAGCCAATACGATTATTATTATTATAAGACCATTCTGCAGTAGTTCGACCATATTTGTACCGGCCAGTATCATTATGCATCCATGTGTGCATCCATTCTCATAACTTAAATTTGACTATCCCAATAAGTTTAAATTTCGTATGTGGGAATGCCCTCTGGAATAATCCGTAATCGTCCGAATATCGTACTTTTTCAAATTGAACAATTTGATGGAGTGCTTTATCTCACGGATGATGAACTTATGATAGCATTTGTTCATTACTATTTTTATTATCCGAAAGTGCATGTATACACGTATTTAATGAGCTTTCAGTGGCTCTTAAAACTTGTTCCAGATAATTACATATAAATTGATTAACCGACGCAGGGGTCAATACGCTCATCCAAAATTTGGCTGACAATATAACAATAAAATGACCACGCTAAAAATGCGAAAATGGTGGGCAAAACCAAGTGTCTTGATCTTGAAATCGAACAATAATCCGTCTTCCGTGGGCGACATTTTCGTAACTTTTTTCAATGATCGTGAATATTTGCCATTTCGTGTGTTTTGTGACCTAATCTCGATGTAATATTTGTATGTTTTTTTATATTTACAATTTCGTGTGTGTTTGTGACCTAATCACGATCTAATGTTTGTATGTTTTTTTTTTTGTGAATTTGGGTAAATTTGTGTCTTATACAGTGAACAATGCCCGCAAGACATAAGGGGTCCAGTTGCTCCGTCGAAAAAAATAATGGAACATTCATGGGAAATAGTAGAGCAGAAAGAACAGTCGAACGAATCGAAGAAAATAACGAAAATGGGTTTGTCGCAATTGCATGAGTCTTAATCAGTAGAGATACGAAATGAACAAAGACAATAGGAACGGAGACGTTCCTTCGTCTCGAATCCGTATACACATACAGATATTGAATATTCCGCACATCAGAAAGTGTTGATGGTGCTAGGGACAAAGAATGTCCCCATTGTCACGCGCTCAAATATAAGCATGAGTCAAATGGTATGTGTTGCGCATCAGGAAAAGTGCAACTACCTCAAATTGAAACACCACCGGAACCATTGAAAAGATTGCTTATCGGCACGAATCCAGATGTAAACATCTTCCTGAAGTCCATTTGCAAATTAAATGCATGCTTCCAAATGACATCGTTCGGATCAACAGAAATAGTCAACAATATGTACTGAGGAAAATGGTCAACCATAAAATTCCACATTTGAAATTAAAGGACAAGTGTACCAAAATGTAGAATGAGCCTACATTTTGGTAATGCCAATGCCAAACAAAGCAGATATGTTTTTACAAATATACTTCATGGCTGGTAAGGACATAAATCCCTCACTCGCCAATCGCGTAGATGCATGTCGCGGTTACAATAGCCTTAATTCGGCAATAGCCAGGCGCATAGTTCGAGAGGTGGACGAACTACTTAATCAGCACAATGAATTATTGAAATTATTCATCGCACAAAAATGTAAGTCTTTAATGAGGTTTATTATTCATGTATTCAGTTGAATGGCAAAAACGAGGATTACCTCATGCACACATTTTAATTTGGTTAGTCGACAAAATACTCCCTAAGGAAATAGATAGTGTAATCTCCGCGCAAATTTCAGATCCGTCTACTGATCAACTACTGATTGATATAATTACCACAAACATGATTTATGGCCCATGCGGTGATATGAATCGCTTATAGCTTGCATCAAAGATGGAAAATTTACAAAGCGTTTTACAAAGCGTTGATTTCACCAATGAGACAAACGTCGATGGATATCCAATATATTAAAGTAGAAATATTGATAATGGTGGACAAATCGGAACAGTGCAAATCAATTAACTCATGATTAACTCGTGATTGGTAGTAGTTCTGCCTTTGACAATTTTTGTTACCTGGAACTTCATCACCCTTAAGAAGTGCCTAAGTGAGCGAGCGAGCTTCAACTGCATTTCCACTCCGTGTCTGTAAAAACCACTGTATACAACCCCTTACATCATAGGGACCATGCGATTATTACTGACTGAGATAACTTTCGGTAATAATCGGCTACTGATCTTCGAATATAAAACCCGTTGGGTCAACTAATGTTGTTTGTCCTCTATCTGCAGACGGCTTAAATATGCCTTAAATATTCGCTGGATTCGCACCACATTTCAGAATATGATAAATATCCTACAGATATTAAAGTTTTAAGCAAAAGATTATAGCATATACTGATAACACTACTCGACAAAACTGAACTTTTAATTTACGTTTCGAACCAAACCGACTTTCTGATAGATTTGGGGCTTTACATTTTCTAAAGAATTATGGTTTTATTTCTGTGGCAGAACATTTTTTTTTTAAGAATTAAAAAAAATGTTTTTTTTTTGTTTGTGCGTTTTTATAGGTAGCGCCTTTTTTCACAAACCTTGGGTATCCTACATCTGCTTGTCATTCTTAAAAGCTTATAAATGCAGCTATAAAGAGGACCTGAATACTGTGAAGCTACGTCGTTTAATGTATTGTTCATTAAAATCTATGAAGAGACAGTTTATCTAAAATTGGTTGACCAACCCTCTGAAAATCATATTTTACCGTTTGGAACTTTGCATAATAAGTATAAAAAATATAAACTTTTTTTTAAGCACTTTAAAAAAAGTTCTGCCATAGAAAAAACAAAAAATAATCATTAAGCATGTCTAAAAACTCAAATCTATCACAAAAGGTTGGTTTGGTTCGAAGCGGAAAAATGGTGTCGAGTAGTGTAAACCGATTCTTACTGTCTCCATTGCATGGAACGAGCTTTAACTATTTATTGTTGGCTTGAATATTAGCCAATCTAGCTGAAATTTTCAGAGAAGGATTATATTCTAATTTTCTAAAACACAAAAAAACAATCCGATCAGAACGATATATGTTAAGTAAAGCTACCATATGAACCATGGAATTTTGAGCTCAAGTCTGCAGCTCAAACGTGTATAAATCGGGCTGAAACTTTTTATTTAATTGCTTTATACCTTAAGAAACATTTTTAGACCATGGGACCTTAGATTCCGACACACTTTTTCCCCACATTGTATGTATAGGCCCAACCCTACTGTTTATAGTTTTCCCCAAAAGAATATTTTGGACCGATTGTTCCTATGGATATATGATATAGTGGTCCGAACTGCCTAAGTCTGAAAAATTATCTGCAAATTCAATCGGAGATACTTTCTTCTGTGCGTTAAACACTTGTGGCCAAACAGAAATACTTATCCTTAAAATACAAATAAAATATAGTTATTGAAATGGCATCCATATTGTGAATTAAAGTTTTTGAACCAAATGAAAAATTTCATTTATGTTAACTTTCTGGTCCATTTGAATGAAAAGTGTTTTGACCTGCTGCTGCATATTGGCGAAATAGGGGAAGAAGTTTGGATATCTTTCTGGATTAGTGATGTAGTACTGTAATTCGGCGGCATTAGTAAATAAAAATAAATAAATAAATTAGCAACATAAGAATAAAAATGGATATAGAAACAAAATTTCGGTGTAATGACAGCTCTCTCAGGACATTCAAAGTGTTTACTTTACCGACCGATTTTTCTAAAACCGGTTGGTAGAAAAGGAAGTTTCTTTTTAAGATTCCAAAACAAAAAGCAAAAAAAAATTTGCGAATCATGACCTTATCATACAGGACATCAAATGATGAGCCCATTGTTCGTTTAATGATTATGTCTTTATTTTTTTCTTGCAGCTGAGGCACATGATCAAAATGCACCTCCCATTTTATATGTACGCGAACGTAACTGGCGGATTTCAGAAGCAGAAAAAGTTGGACAAATAATAGATCGTGTCCGGGCCGAGGATCCCGATGGTGATGAGTTGCTATTTGGTATTGAACCGCGCTTTCTACCTCCACAAGGAAGTGACGTAGAAGCCAGCATACCGGAAAAACTGCCATTTCATATTGATTCACAAACTGGTGTTGTTTATCTTAATGAAAGCTTGATGGGCCGTGTAAGTGAAATTAGCAAATGCTTTTTTTTTGTAACATGAAGACTTATTGAAGTAAAACCGATGACCATCCTTGGTATAAGCCGATGGCAATATTAAAACTAGTAAAAGTCATTAAGAGCTTTAGGATTTTGCATATACTTACTGTTTATATCGACGCATTTTCGCGAAAGTATCGTATGTCAAAAAACCAAATTTTACGGAGAAGGGTTACTCAGCTTAGAATGGGAAAATAACGGTAAAACTCTTTAAGGTTGTATGTTTCAGCTACAAAAACCAATGTCAACTTAATTGTTTCCAATAATGGCGCCTTGTTATAAAAAAAAGCTAGGATCTTTAAACATACGATACTTTCACGCGCTATGTTTTTATGGGCATAGACGCAACAAGTGTACATACGATAATGGAAATAATTCCATAAAAATATAAAGAATTTTATAATCTGTTTGAGCTTTACAGCTTCATTTACCACCAGCTAGATCAATGAATAATAAAGCATACACCAACGGCGCAAAGAGAAATAAGCAATAACCAGATCGAAAAATCGAAAATTCATAAGGAATCTGAGAGAGACAATTTTGTATAAAGTTACCCAAAATATCTTTTGCATTTGGTTACACTTTGGTCATAATTTTTGAGCAATTTCAAAACAACAAAACTTCTTGTTTGCCCGCTCAATTATAGTGTTTAATGACAGCCTTGACAAACTTTTTTTTGCGATTGTCTGTAACTAGCAAACGTCAATTGTATGCACTATAAGTTGAACAGATATGAAAGAGAAATCCAATTGCCTGTTTACTAGCCAGATATAAGCTTAGAAGAAGGCAATTACAAGAAGAAAGAGTAGAGCGCAGGATGCTTAGACTGACATCACTTCTGACTCCACTTTGGTTTTTTGTTTTTACAAGTACAAAAAAAAAATGCTTTCGCTATAAGCATCGTGTGAACATAGATTTGTATGATGATTTTTTATTTGATTAAGGAAGACATCCATCCATTATCATCCATCCATTTCACCAATCCTGCAGTTGGCAACTGTGCTACGTTTTTTGGTGTCAAATCCTTTCAACTCAATCCGTGTGCAAATTATTTTTGATTGTTTGTTCACTGTTAATAAAATTGGGCCAGTCATCGCATAGAATTTCCAACCCGAAGAAATATTTTTCTCTTAGATATTAACATTAACACACAATTAATTACACATTTATTTACAATTTAAATGATTTAAGCTCAAATCTTTTTTTTTCTTAAATTTCCTTAAATTTAAAACCATTAACTGCAAAATATCAATCGAATTTAGCAATCCAACAATAATACAATTTTCAGAAAAACTAGGTGGTCAGAATTTTCTTTGAACTGGTTTTGGACGATGACACCTAATGGAAACTCTACTAGAGATTTTACTAGACTAAAACAAAAATAAAGGGACTAAAAGAAGTGAAATCTTAAACACTTGATAATGAAGAGATTGTTATCTCTATTTATTTCTGTGCTTTTAAAGTAATTCGTTCTACATACAAAAAAATTTGTATGGACATACGATAATTTTGCGCGAACAGAAAAATGCATAGTTACATACGATAAAATTGAAACTTAATTTTTATCGGAACTATATCTTTTTTAGTTATACTATTTTGCAGGATTGTGAGACATAACGTTTCGAACTACTTGGCCTGGCCTTAAAATCTCAATTTCGATAAAAAGTGACATACGATAATTTCGTGAAAATGCGTCTATTTGTATATACTGTACTGTACTGCTTATACTCGTACACCGTTTATGGAAGTTTTAATGGTCCAATTCAAACTTAGAAACTGATACGGTTCATTTGCTTCTACAATGTGGTCGTGGACGCCTAAGTGGCTGCATCTCTGCTGATAGCTGGGAAATATTTTTTGATATTTTCAGGATATGCAAGCACAGTTTGAGAATTAAATATAAGAGTATCAGATGATAGGAAAAACAAATTTATACCTTTATAGCTCGGAGAAATTGTACAATTTTCAATAATGCCATTTGGGATATGCTTTTTATTTACAGGCCGGCCAGAACTTTCTCATATATATAACTGTCTCCGATGGACGTTACACAGCAAAAAACGAAGTTTTTATCAACATTCTGGGTCAGCGGGAGAATATGTATGGATATCGACCCCAGACATCTATCTCGAATGTTGTACACAACATTTCGCAGTTTCTACCCTCATTTGATCAACTACCTGGAGTTCAATCTATCAGAAATGGACTGCCAAATAACAGACCTACTTTCAATTTTCCGCCTAGACCTCATGAAAGCAACAGTGGTATACCGTTCGGCAACTTTTACCCTCGTTTTCCGAGCTCGAATGACAGAACAGAAGCTAACTCTGAGGACCAAAACAGTCCAACGGCTCCAACGATAGGCTCATCGACGGAGAAAAGTCGTACCAAACTCACTCCCATAGTCGTTAATACTTCCACCAGGCCAGAAGAGCCCTCGACAAAGACGCTGCATGATGGGAGTGGGAATACCATAACCATTTTTTCAATAAAGTCTACCACCATTCCTTTTGTTGTCACTGTTTGCGGTTTCATCGCAACAATTTCTGTCTTCCTCGGATACATTTGCCGTCATCGGCTTTGCGCTATTAGTAAAACTCTAAAGAAATCAAAAGAAAAAGAGGAGCTGGCGAAGAAATCTAATCAGAGTCAAACATCAAACACGCTGAGTGATGATGGACGCAATTCAATGGTAATGCAGCAGTGGCAAGGACCAGTCGCGTTTGCCAATCGTTATGTGGCTTGGGAGTTGGACCAACCGATTACGACAGTTGTGAGTAAAGATAGTAATTCGAAGTTTTTGTTGTAAATTAAGATGGTCAATACATGGCTTTTGTTTTTTGTAACATTTTTATACCCGTATTCAAAAAGTGTTCAGGTTAAGAGTTAAAGAGGGGTATATTAGATTTGTGGTAAAAGTGGATTGGTGCAGCGCAGAGAAGGATACGTTTCCGAACCCATAAAGTATATATATTCTTGATCAGCATCAATAGCCGAGTCGAGCCAAGTCTGTCTGTTTGTCTGTCTGTCCGTCTAGATGAACGCCTAGATTTCAGCGACTATTAGAGCTAGAACATCCAAATTTGGTTTCAAGACTCATGTATTATCACACTGCTACAAGTGTATTGTACCACAAAGGACGAAAATCTGTGGCAGCCACAATTTAAAAGATACGATAAAACTAAAAACGCAGTATCGTAGAGAATGACCATTTCTACCAGTTTGCCGAATCTGAATCAGATCGGATCAGAATGAAGAAATTAATTTTCAGTTGCTTCCCCCTCCTCCTACAGTAAGGGACCCGTAACTCATTCTCTTTCTCGTCGCACCTCTGCCTCGTTCAGTGAGCGAATGCCCGCTAGCGGAGAAGATGTAGAATATACACTGCAGATGTAGATAACATAATTCATTTAAAGCTTTTGGAATCTTAAGTGTATGGGAATCAACATTTTTCTAACACAATGTACACGTATTTATTGAGAAAATTATTAATCGAATATTATCATAGGCAACGTCGCAATTATCAACTAGTGTGACAAACATTGGTGATGCTTCTGCTGTCGGGGCTCCTTGCGGCATAGCTGACCCGGTAGACAACTTAATGCCAGTGAGTGTTAGGTCGGGAGCTAGTTCAGCGGCGGCGGAAAATGGTTTGGTCGTCGATATCAACAGTGATCACTGGGAATTCCCAAGGTACCGACTGAAGTTCTTTAACATACTGGGCGAAGGTGCTTTTGGGCAAGTCTGGCGCTGTGAAGCCACGGACATTAATGGTAAGTAGTGACATCTCCTAGACAGCCTTAAAAGTATAGATATATTCATACTTATAGTGATTTTATATCTCCTTTGCTGTGATTGAGAGATTCATACATATATGTATGCTAATCCAGTAAAAGTAGTGTCCGTCTAAACTTCCGTGCAACTTGTATAAAAATATTTATCTCAGGGGACTTTTAGGATTATTTTTTGGTTGTTTTTCAAACACGCTGCTTCTAAAGTATATTTTGTGTAAATATGTTTTACACCATTTCCGACTCCATTAAGTAGATATGCCTGACCAAATCATTAGACAAGTATGTAAAGCCATACCGACTTCTATATTGTGTCATCCTCAATATAGAGGATTCCCAAAAATTGATCGGATGACGGTAAGGGAAGCTGCAGTGCGTTTTTAGACTCCTTTCGCTTCATATGTGAGCACTTAAATATGTATGCACTTACATGCTTACATATGTTAACTAAAATATAATGGGGATCCGATCTAGTATGTAGAAGTGATCATTCTCTTTTATTCCATACGAGTATGTATGTTTAAATTATTCCATTCGTAAATATATTCTTTTTAGGTTTTGAGGGCATTACCACGGTTGCCGTAAAAACGCTGAAGGAGAGCGCCACAGAAGTTGATCGAAAGGATCTATTGTCCGAGTTAGAGGTAAGTACGAACACAGTACATCTGATATTTGTATAACCTGTGTTTTGGTCATAGGCTACAGCTACTTGTGACATTATAAAAGTCTTCTTTGGAGTCCTGAAGTTAGACCCGACCCTTTTCTGGTTCTTTATATACCGACACTTTATATTATCTTGGAAGCCCGAGTTACAAAATAAAAAATTTTCCCAAGTATCCACATGACACAAGGGATAAAACGACAGAAAACTATCTCATAAAGTCGCAAATTGACGTTATTGTATTGACGTTTAATGTTTCCTTGTTGTACATATAACTATATCTAATGAAAACGAAAGTTCAGTTTTTGAATTTTAAAATGTCAGAAATGTCGATGCGCTTAAAATATATATTATTTGGATTGGACCAAAATTAATCTGTGCTTCTGTTTAAACTCAAGCTGCAAATTCATCATTTATTTGTATCTACTGAAACATCTGAATAAGTGGGAGTATTATTGTCGAGCTGTTGCCTATTAACGTGTTGATTGTTCATAAACACGTAGAAAACATTTTATCTCATCATATTCGTAATGGATGACATTCGAAAAAACACATTTTTAAAAACAAATTTTTGAGCTGATCTTTTTCAGTAGCGTTGTTTTGCGATATGTTTATTGGCTAGACGGTGGTTGTTCAGATTAAATATGGTTTATTGTTGTAGACAGTATATAAGGCGATACAAAGTCGAAGGGATAGCGAAAGGTTCGAGTTAGGTTAATTCCGAGAGCACGACGAATCGGTTTCTATAGCTAGCTGGATTCAAGACGGGGTCAGATTGTAGACGCGGGGGTCGGTACAAGACGGTGTCGGATTGAATAGCTCGATTCCAAGACAATTTGCAAGAAGTGATTGCAAGATCTATACTGACTTCAGGGGCAGGCGGGAAGAATTGCCCGTGCTCCAATACGAGCAAGAGAGGGACAGAGCAAGAGAGGGACAGGCAAGAGATAACGAGAGCGATGACAAGGCAACGGAAAGAAAGAAATGCGTGATGAAGAGGCAAAGAAGACAGGCTGCATAGGCTGCTGCCGTGTGGGGGCATGAATATGTGCATATTTATGTAGAGGACGGTTAAGCAGTGGGCAGTAAAAATGCCTAACAATAATATGTATTTACTCTACTGCTGCACCACTGACTATGATCTACTATTTGGCTTCGTAACCAAACACAAATATTTTATAAATATCGACTCTAGCCGCTCAAAAAAAAATCTAGTAAAACGAAAACGTACAAACGTACATATATACATACATATTTTGAATCCAAAAAATGTCAAAAATCTAGAATTTACTGAAATACTGAAACCCAATTTTATTATTATACGGTTAGCAGAGTGACTGTAGAATAAACATTTATACATAATAAAGTGCTCTCTTTCACCAGAGCAATCGGCCATTCATCATGGCTCAACATTTTAACCATTTATTCCGATTAGGTTTTTAAATGCCGACAGGATATTGCGACCGCCAGTCGGTATTATTAAATATCGATATTTTTCTTGCCGTTTTTCTTATGTACTTCGGTGGTAAAATAGGCAACACAAGTTTCGCACAACACATTTCGTTTGTTTACATTTTTTATAGGGATGTTACGTATTTACTGCTTTACACGTGCATACAGACATACTTACAAAAAATGGATGCAACCGCAGAGAAAACATATGGTTTATGCATTTTCTAGAATATAAATTTAATGTCAGTGAAACGTATTGATCCCTTTTTTACTGCAAATATGACCAGCTAGTGTTATGCTCCCGCAGATTATTGCCCTTGGGAAGGCCTATTGAGGCCTATTGCCCTGGCTCACGTTACTACCCAGAAACGACTGCATTGCACCAAATCAAAACTATTTCACGGCACACTACAAACGACTTGTATTAATATACGCATATGTATATATACTTTGGTAGGATATATCACTAATTTTCAGAATTTAGAAAATAATTGGACACGTATTGTCCGCGGCCCGAGTTAAATGAACGACAAGGCCGTCAGGGAAACATATGTATTTAGAGCCCCTGTTATGTTAAGTGTTGTGCTATTGAGTTACTGAGGGCGGCAAATTCGAAATCTGTTTTTGTTGTTGAAAATTACAGCAAAGTTACAGAACCGAGTAAGAGTTAAATATTATTTAATGTTTTGTCGAAGTTTTTGTAGGATAAATATTAAATTCAAATAATATAATCAAATTGAAATAATATATTTTCATATTTTTATAAATATTAACACTACTTGAACTGAACTGATTCCTTTAACAGCTCCTGATTCTGGTCGAGACCCCAGCATCCTCCCTTTGTGCAGAGAGACGCTGTCGCTCAATCAATCTCTTTGCTAAATTCGAACATGCGCATTGACACTTTCGGAGTTTTTCACTTTTTTGGCGGGGATGTGACCCTTGCATAGTTAGGGTTGTCGTAAAAACGATTAGACTCCGCTCTCTTTTTGTTTTTAAATGTTATTGTTAGTAATGCTGTCTCCAATGCCGTTCCCTTCATCCTTAAAATCGTTTCTTCCAGTCCCAGCTTTTATGAAGCGTACTTTAATAATGTGGAATAAAACATAATCTGATCTTTTGTTTTTGGATTGGTTTAAAATCATTCCTAGTTGTGTGTTTTCTTTTAATAAATTGGTTCGTCATCCTAATCAGGAATATATAAATATTTATGTAAATATGTAGGAAGGTTGTAAGGCCGTATTGGATTCTTAAGAAATTCCAAACATTTCCAATTAGCTTTCGTTCGAATAAAGAATTCCACATCTACCATTTTTCTGGGTGTTTAATTTAACAATGGTGGTGCGTTCATCAAAGACATTCATACACATTAATAAAGTGAATTTTTTCTGTATTATTTTAAGGTAATGAAATCTCTGGAGCCCCATGTCAATGTAGTTCGACTTTTAGGCTGCTGTACGGACAAAGATCCGACATTTGTTATAATTGAGTACGTAAATCGAGGAAAGTTACAATCATATTTACGAAACTCAAGAGCCGAAAGGTAAGAAAAGGATTTTCTTGTATACAAAAATAGAAATCAATCAATCTCAGAATACAGGTTAACTAGACCGTTACAAAAGTTACAAAATATGTTATATTTAATTAGTATGAATTATCTTTAAATAACACTATGTATATTTTTTTCAGACACTATGGAAATACACATGGAAAATCAAATATATTGACATCATGTGACTTAACTTCTTTTATGTATCAAATTGCAAAGGGAATGGACTATTTAACGTCCCGTGGTGTGAGTATGCTATATCGCACAAACAAAACCCACTACAAATATGGAAAGATTTAATGATATATATGTAGTACATATGTATATATTGACGTATAGTGTAGCGTAGATGTTCTAATACTCCGCAAGAATATAAAAACAATGAAATTTTCACTTTATTACAGATTATTCATCGGGACTTAGCTGCTCGAAATATTCTCATCTCAGACGATCATACATGCAAAGTGGCTGATTTCGGATTTGCCCGGGATATTATAACATCAAAGATTTACGAAAGAAAAAGCGAGGGCAAACTACCAATAAGGTAAATTCAATGGTGTATCAGTCGATAATAAAAAACACTGTTTGTGGTCGTGAAAAGTCGGATCCCATTTGTGGGCATAATAAGTTAGTTCAAATATGAGTTGAAAAAATCATAGGTAGCTGAGTCAAGATGCATATGCTTAGTAACTTACTAATAGTAAGAAGCAACAAAAAACTAAATATATTATTAAATTATAAATTATTAAATCAAAATTATATTTTAGTTTATCATAGAGCATTTCCCTGAAGAGTTTAAGCCAAGTCGGTAAGCCATATGACAACTCACCTCGGTTTTTTTTTGTCGGTCGAACTTGGTCGAAGACAGGTTAACCGTCACACCTCTTCAAAATATGTCGATTGCGGAATAAAAAAAAATTCTGCTATCACATTATTTTTTCGATTCATGTAGTTGTCTTATCTTTCAAAGCCAAACGGCTCGTATCTACTTAATTTAATATAATTGAACCAAGTTGAATGTTTGGTACCAATATTTGAATTTCAAGTTTCAGTCAATTAACTGTAATAATTAATATTAATAATATCGATATTGAAATAACTTTTTTGTGGTACCTATTCTAAAACCCAAAGAGGCTCCCAAAAAATGTATTATATTTGTTTGGTATATTTGTATGTAAATGCTGTATTGTGGCAAAAACAGAGCGTAATTTGCTTTCATTTTGTATCGCTAGTCCTTATTTCGATCTGTGTGGGAGTGGGATCTGTACGGAAGTATATTAATGATTTCATAAATCCATACATTTTCAGATGGATGGCAACTGAATCACTTTACGATAATATATTTTCAATCAAATCCGATATATGGAGCTTTGGTATATTAATGTGGGAAATTGTAACGCTCGGCTCGACGCCCTATCCCGGCATATCTGCTGCCGATGTTATGAGGAAGGTTTGTAAAAGATATATATTTTTTCCATAAACATAAGTGAAAATACAATTAATTACTCACTGTTGACTCAGGTAAGGGATGGATATCGCCTGGAAAAGCCCGAGCACTGTCGTAGAGAGCTTTACAATATAATGTACTATTGCTGGTCTCAGGATCCGCATGAGCGTCCCTTATTTGGGGAAATAATTAATATGCTTGACAAATTGCTGCACACTGAAATGGACTACATCGAACTGGAGCGGTTCCCCGACCACAATTACTACAATATTGTTAATATTAGTGGAGAGAAGCTTTAGTTCTTCACGATATACATGTCACGTCACCCTATGAGCTTTATTATTACAATAAGATATTCCAGTACTCATATTAAATATATTAAACCACTCCATCAAGTAAAAATGAAACTGATTTGATTTTAAAAAAACCGTGAAAACTCGCAAAAATTTTTAACTCAGAGACAGTCAGAGAATTACTGCTTATAAAAATTATTTCCGCGGTTTGGCAACCATTTGTAGGTAACATAATAGCCCTAGATACATATAAAAAGTAGACTGACTCGGTAGTTGTGAGACCTCTGTGGCTTCACTTCCCGAGAACCAGGTACAATTGTTATTAAGAGTGACACGTTTTAGTTGGTACGCGTGTATATACATATAGACCTAAAGTGCACCTTCTGCTTTTTTAATTTAATACTTTATTTTTATTATATGTACATTGTACATATGTAACGAGTCATGATTTTATATTTTATCATTCGTATTATTATTTATTAATAATACAGTACGAGTATATTTATTATCCATGCAGATTTTCATTAAAGCAGCTCAAAGCAGCTCGTCAGACAAAAGCATTCTGAGTTGCCGTTATAGCGGGGAAGTGAGGCGTGATAGATCTTTTAACACTGCTGGTGACAGAATAGATATTTGTACCTGAAGATATATCGAATCAAAGTTTTCTAACATTTTGACAGTTTTGTAACATTGGCCAATTCCAATTTTGCTACATGTAAAATTGAAAAATTTCAAAAGAAGCATTGCTAGGTGTGCGTTTGAAACTGTAAAATATGATTGTCGGAGGGTTGGTCAACCAATTTTTTCTCAGCCCTTTCTAAATAGATTTTAATGAACAATACTTTAAACGTCACATGGTGGGGCCTCAGCCGAAAAGTGGTGGCAAATATCATTTTCTGAGTGAGCGCTTTGAATACTTCAAATACACGAATCTGATTTGTAGGATTCCGAAAATGAAAACTTAAGAAATCCGCTATTTTAGTTTCGGAGATATGAGCATTCTAAGATTACCATTTTTCCAGTGAGCAGCATTTGCTCAATTTTTATGCACATACTTCATCTTTTAGGTCAAATAAAAAGTAAACTATGGCATGTATGGTTATTGTTTTGGTATATATTTTTAAGTGTCTTTATTTTTAACACTGTTTAATAAAAAACGTGAAGAAACTTGAGAGTCGGTTCTGTGGACGCGACTCTACTTTTATACCCGGACTCAGTCAGTATAGAAATTTGTGAGCTTCTGATTTATGTAGGGTTTTAAAAATTTTACATTTTACATTTTGCAACATCTTTTATCTACATCTACAATGTCGATTACACATCTAAAATGTAGATACATACACAATGTAAATTCTTCATCTTCTCCGCAAAGGTCGCGCATTGCACAGGGCAGTGTGTGCAAACGAGAAAGAGAATGAGTAGCGTGGTCTCGTGCTGGAGGAGGTGGGGAAAGCAACTGGAAATTAATTTCTTCATTCTGGCTATAATTATGATCCGATCTGATTCAGATTTGGAAATCTGGTAGATATGGTCATTCTATACAATATTGCGTTTTATTGTATCTTTAAAATAGTGGATGCCACAGATTTTCGTACTTTCGTACTACACTTGTGGCAGTGTGATATCACATGAGTCTGGAAACAAAATTTGGTTTCTCTTGCTCTTATAGTCTCTGAGAACTAGGCGCTCACTAAGACGGATTTCAGCTTACCGTTTGGAAAACATTAAGCATTAATATAAATAATGAAAAAATTATGATTTTTGTCTGGTGTTTTTTTAAATTTGTGAATTTAAAAACTCAGGAAAGTCGAAAAAAAATTATATTGTGTTTTTATATTTTTCATTTATATGCGCATTAATTAGGCGTCGCTTAAGATATTTTTCTCTTAAATCTGTGGAGAAACGACGGATCCAAAATTGGTTGACCAACCCTCCGAAAGTCACATTTTACCGTGGCTGGCCCTCCAAGCAATGCTTGTTTTGACATTTTTATACCCGTACTCACTTACATTTTTAAAGATACGATAAAACTAAAAACGCAGTATCGTAGAGAATGCCCATATCTACCAGACTGCTGAATCTGAATCAGATCGGATCATAATTATAGCCAGAATGACGATAATTTTCAGTTGCTTCCCCTGCCCCCTCCTGCCAACGACAACGCAACTCATTTTTCTTCTCGCTCGCAACCCCTAGCGGAGGAGATGTAGAATCTAAATGGTACATGTATAATCTACATGTTAGATGTAGAATATACATAATATATGTAGATGTAGATAACAGATGCAACAGAAAAAAAATGTAAAATAAAAATTATATATTTAATTCTAAAATTCTAAAAAATATGCTCAAAAATGTATATACTGCCTGAGTGCGGGTATAAGTAGAGTCGCGTCCCCAGAAGTCTTTGGCTATATCGACTCGGCTATTGATGCTGAACAAGAATAAATAAACGTTATGGGGTCGGAAACGTTTTCTTCTCTGCGTTGCACACATCCACTTTTACCACAAATCTAATATACCCCTTAACTCTTTTTTGAGTACGGGTATAAAAAAATAATTTGCCATGGCTAACCGACCCCTTCATTCTCTCTCTCAATTACACACTCTTCCGCGTACAGTGTGTGCACTCTAACGGAGTGGAGCGAGATTGGTGTTGGTGTGAGAGGTGAGAGAGAGAGACAGATCAACTGATAGAAAATATGCAAGAATTAACATTAAAACAAACCTAGGATTCGTGTTTTCTCTCTTTTTTTTCTCCATAAATTTCCCTCTCTCATGACAAGTGCGTGCAAAAACCTTCCCGCATTAACTAACAAATCATTTCATCACTTTTACGAACAGCGATACTAATACTTATTCGATGTAGTTAGTACTGCAGCAGTGACATTTTTGTCATAATAATTTCTGAACGTAAATATACACATAATATATATCCATACATATACTTATATGCGAACATATGTATACATATGTATGTATACATATTTGATCAGCATCAATATATGTACGTATCTACCTATTTAGCCATTGATGTCTGCCCTGCTGTCTAAAAATTTTGCAGGCACACGCACTGAAATAAATATTTGTCACTCAACTTTTACCAACTAACGGAATTTCAGCCGATTGTTTGTATGGAACCTAAATAACATAGGGGCTCGAAATGGACGATTCCGAAAAATTTTCTCGAAAGAAGATTCAAATTAGTTGAGATAACTTTAAAGCTGAGAGACTATTATAGTGGGTTTCAACAGACGGACATCCGGATAAGAATAGATGTTTATATATTTTTGATACTCTTCTGCGGAAAACAATTGCGAGGCATCTAGTAAATATTGAATTTAAACAAAGCGTTGAACACGATACTTATTTTTAATATTTTTGGAAAAGCATAAATGCATGTGTATGTACATATAAATGGCTTAAAAACTTAACAATAATTCCTGCTTCTTAAGAACATAAAATTGTGTATTATTGTATAATAACTAAAAAATAATTTATTTTATCTATGAAGACGTTTTACATTTGACTATCCGGAACTTTAGATTTAACATGTACATTCTACATTGGATATTTTATATTATTCATTAGAATGCAAGTATTGATATCTCGAAAGTATTGAAATCAATGAAATTTTGTGACATATTGCTTTTTACTCCGTCAATCTTCACATATATCACATGCCAGCATATGAACCCCTATTGCAGCGCCCACTATTAACACAACTTATGTAGACACTTGAACATTTTAAATAAAGTGGTCATTGCTTGAGCTATGTAACTTGGTTTCCTCATTCTCACGCTCCCACTCGTTCATTTTAGATTGCATAATCAGATCTTGGAAGGATCCATACTCCGTGCTTTGACGGGACTTTGCTATAAGGCCTACATCGCCCTCATCATCATAAAGATTGTCAAAGTCGTATTCAGTATCCTTATCAGAATCCGTTGAGGTACGCTCTTGCTTGTCATAATCAACTTCATTCTGAGCATCTCGGTCGTCATAATCAGAATGAATTTTATGTTTCTGATAAAACATCTTTAATAAGTAGTCAACATTTTCGGATGGTACGTCAGACACCATCTTGATTGCAATCTTTCGGCGAGATCTCTTCATTGGTTTTAGAGGCTTGTCGTCATCGTTCAGCTCGAAATTCAGTGAGGTTTTGAGCATACCCTTTGACTCTGTTAACTTTTTAAGCACAGATCGGTAAAGGCTCGTAAACTCGTCCCTGTTTTTCATTTTTTGGGACATCAACATTTTCGAATTTTCCATAATAAAACGGTTAAGTAATTCTTTCGTTCCTTGTTGGTCCTTTTGTGATTTTAGAAGATCGACTATAATAAATAAATATATTTCGTAAGTTTTGGTAAAACTTCCAACGAACTTATAGTGCTAGGCATACATACTTTTTTCTTGTGATAGTCCGAGGGTGCTCTGAAAGACACCCCATTCATCTTTCCGACCCTTTACGCTGCCTCCAGCTCTTCTGGAAGCTTCTGGCATTTTCTCTACCCTTTTAATATATAATGCCCAGCTGCTCTCCTGTACTGTTAACAGTAGAATAATTATTTTTGCAAAATGCATTATTAATTTTACTTTGCTTTGCTGTGCTGTGGTGTGTATCATTCGAGATGCACTTCAAAATGATGTGCTGATCCTGAAGGAACTACCTTTTATACAATTTCAGGCTTGGCAAACTGCTAGTTCGCGTTAATTCACATAACCACATACAAAAATTGCGTAGTCAACGATACTCAGACAAAAGTAATTCTTGACACTCTAGACTTTCGGGGCACAGGCGCCCGAAGTCAAGACTAGCAACCGGGTAGGACGACATTTGCTTGATTGGACGCTGTATCCTTGTTTTTCTTGGGAACACTTAGCGCGAGCAGTGGCAATTAAATGGCAAACCGAAACAAAAAATAGTACTTCTCCGACCTCACCTCACTCATGCGTTGGACCGCTTCATTACAGGTAGCGGACCAGGACAACTGAACGATGTGAGAATTAGAGTGTAGAAACATAATTGAGTCGCTTAACAACGATGAGAACAGAAACATGGTTGCAGCAATTGGTTTCATGAATGTAAGTGCGTCAGGCAGGTAGGCGCTAGCCATTTAAATGCGAAAGGAAGTACAAATAAATCCTAGCGCCAGCCATAAACGGATAAACTGCGTCGATCTCAATCCTAGTCTCTGTCGACAAATTTGTCGCTAATTATTCTTGAATGCAGGTTTTATTGAAGCAATATAAATAGCGCAAATGCTGTTTGCATTTCAGAGACATGCGATCTAAATCAAACTTGGTTTTGTCCTTGATAAAACATGTAACCGCAGCCAGATGTGAGAGTCCTGATCCAGATTTACGACCCCAAATTCGATTGGTAATGCATTTTTCCCCTAGAAAGTAAAGATCTACCAAGAAAATGCTCGTTCAATGCGTCTGTTAAAACCCATGTAGAAACGAAAATTAGGATAGTTTCGGGGTCTAATTTTTGTCATCTATTTATTTATTTATTTATTCTTGAGTTGCTATGTGCAAAAGAACAAAGGCCTTCGCTACTACATACATACATATATCTCATATGCCAGTAAGTTGGAGGAAATGTATCGTGATGTACGAGCATGAACCCAAAAGTACTAGCATAGCAACGAAACACATACAAAATATGCTTAAAAGTATCTTCATTTGTGAACATATTATCGTTTCAGCTATATCCTCGTACATTTAGACCAGCGGTCCTTTAGTTTTCGTACCATCAAGCCATTTACTATATAGACTATATAGCAGAAAATAGTCGCTGGGGCTTTGATCCCAGACACGATGCTGAAACGTATGTATATTGTCTTAATGGGAAATCTCTTTTTTCTTATAATCTTCCAAGAGCTCGGAATCATATTGGTCGGTGCATGTGGCTAAAAACTCTTTTAACGTGGCCCACGAATGGCTAGAATTCGAAATCAGTTGAAACTCGGTTGGAATGTAAATCTGTGGCACCCGGAAATGAATATTGACTTGTGGAGCACCCTTATAGGCATGGATTTTATTCTAAATATTTACTAAGCAAGCCCATAAAATTGTGTTTAATAAATAATTTAAATTTAAATACTGACTAAGCAAAAATATTTTTTACGCACACCGTTGTTATAGAAACGAAAGTTTCTGTTTATTATTTTTAACAACAACCAAAAAAAAAAGACAAAGACGCAAACATGCCGAAGGTTTTATTTCAGAAGTATAAAAAGGTGACCAGCTCTATAGACCCTCAGCGACATGCCGCCAAGTTAAAAGAAATTGACGAGCGTCATAGGGCAGAACAGTCGGAAGGGGAGTTTGGATCTGAAGAGGGTTCTGGGGAGCTATGTGAAGAAGATATGGGTAGCTATGAGGAAAGTGAATTTAGTTTATCGGAAGGTGAACCAGCTCTGAATATCGGAAAAATCGACTTATCATTTCCCGAGACAACGGATGAGTACCAGAACAGCCCACAATGCTATCCCCCCTCTTACTATACGTTATCGCCAAAAGAAAGACTTCTTTTACTCTATGCAGAGAATTTTCGCAAGCAGTTTGTTTTAATCTACCCAAAGCGACGGCCAATGGTTCTGGCCTTGCCTAACGAATGTAGAGTTCAGGTAAGTCTTCAAACAAAAAATTGCATTTATAAAATAAACTTCAGAATTTTATTTTTTACAGAAGTTTGTATGTACCACGATAAGACCCACGGCCTTTATTTATCCGGAGCTCATATCAAGTATAGAGGAAATTTCAAAGTTTGTTGCTGATTTTATTCAATTTGAACCGCTTGAAGACCAAGTAAATTTGGTAAGAAAATATTTTGTTTATACTTATATATAAATATCTACAAAAGCCTCGCCAAATCGACCCGCAAACATACATATGTACATATGTATGTATGTAGGTGCCACGCTTGAAAGCCGAGTCAGTCTTCCCTGGAATCCTTTTGGTTCATATGGGCAAAATTGTATGATACTGGAATGCCGAGAATAATTATCCTATCCACACGATTCGATCGTTGCGTGGTTGACTGGACTCTTTCTTCACCATATATTCACAATAATGCTTTGCAGTCAATGGGTGGGCTCTTAGTGGTCCGTCCGTAACGCTCATTGTGATTTGAGCAATGTAGTTTTTGTACAGTTTTTATTTAAACTAAGTTGGCATGAAGAAACATAATTTTGTTTATATTTTCTGGATTGGTAGATAATAAGCAACGCTTTTCGGTGATCAAGTTTCTGGCATCTGAATTTCTCTGTCTCTGCCATTTCTGTCATTTCGTTTTGTGCACTATTCTGCACTATTCATTCTAACTCATACAACCTAATGTTGAAAAGTGTGAGGCACACAAACACTCCCATTGGAATAAACTCAATTCAATTCGAATGGATTCTAATGGAATTTATTTTTGAATTTCTAATTTAAACATATTCGTACATATGTATACATGTATGTATGTATGTGTATCATGGTTCCATTTATTGCCGCCATTTCATAGTGGCGCAAATTTATGAATTTTTCGCAACGCCACTATCGTTTGCCGCGTCGTCGTTATTGCTGATGCTGTCACTCGTCGACAGTTGTTGCTGGCGTTGCCAGACTCGAGAGATTCGTAGTTCTTGTGGGCTGCGATCCGGGCTGCCACACACCCAAGTCTCATGCCGGCCAGCCTTTGTCAGAAAAGCTAATGCTCGATATCACATTCGAAAAATTGCCAATATTAATCGAATATATACGATACATTAATTTGATATCAGAAAACAGCGCCACTGGCGTGTTTTATTGGACACAAATGCAACAATAAGACGCTAGGTGGGGTGGCTTCCAGCATCAAATTACTTTCCTTTCTGTCCTGCCCTGCCTCGCTCAACGTGCCGCAAAGACCCAGTTCAGGAAAAGCCGAAAATGTGTGTTGTTGCTTTATCGTTTATTCATATTGGCATATCAAGAATAGCATATATGTATATATAATGGCATATATATACATATGTGTATAAAATAAGCTGCAGACGTTTAACTAAACCACCAACACTTAGAACTACAATTTTCGTTGATTCATCTTTACATAAGCATGGTGTTTGGTTTTTGGTTTTGCGCACAGGAAAATCTCAGTCCACACACCTCAATATAAATCTGTGGATTCCGCTCTTGTTGCTGGATACTCGACCCAGGAAAACGTAAACGAAAAATTCCTGCCACAGTGGTTTTTATATGAAGTTTGACAGGAATATTTCGATTCCGCGGTGCTGGATACTATGCTTCTACTTACAAATATTTTGTGCCCATAGTATCTAAAAAACTTTTTGCGTATATATCTACACAAACACTTTCAAGCTTTACTGCAAATTTGTCGCTCAGTTCAAAACAAAAAACTGTATTTTCTTTTGTTACACTTAGAGATGTGGTCAAAATGCTACCACCATAATATAAATATGTACATATGTATGTATGTATGTACAGCTGTGAACATGGAAATAGTAGTGCCGCACCTCACTATTTTTGAAAACTATTTCAAAACTATTTTTGAGACACTTCCAGTCTTTCGAATTAAGCAAGTGATACCTTTTTACAAAGCCTGAAATGTAATCATTAGAACATGCTGTGTAAGAAACTCCTGTTTCATTTGCATCGCATAATACAAATACCCACGAAATCTGCTGTTCTTAGAAATAGTAGTGCTGGATATAAACATTAACCAAAAATTAAAAAACTGAAAAAATTAATTTTAAAACGTAAGTTTATCACAGTTATTGAATATTTTGATGAAATACATTTTTGGAAAAAGCGGTACTATTGTTTTTGGAGCGTTGAAGAAATCATTGATCGGTCCAAAAGAGGAGACCTACATAAGTATGTAAGAGAGGAAAAACTAAAGGCAACATGTAAAGGGTGGCTATTAATAGTTGTCGCACATGTTTAAAGCGAAACTATTCAAAATTAAACATGCTCAGATTTGCAGACATCATGAATTCCTATTCTTACGTTTATTGTGAATTGATCCACATAGTTATTATTTTGACCAGTTGATATTCAAAGCTTCAAAGAAGCAAAACTAGCCTTTGTTTAGAATTTACATTTGCAAGGAAAAAAATTTGTAATTGTGTGATGCACTGTATCTCGGGTCATAGCGACTAGAAGAGTTTAAATATACTACATAAGAGGTCAAAAATGCACCGTTACAAAACTTAATCAAAATTATCTTATGATGAAAGAATAATTTGACTCTTCGGTGGCACGCAACACGATAAAGACACGCAGTTGTTTATGCTGCAGAAAAACCAAAGATCTGAAAATGTTATCAACTTATGTTGTATTCGAAAAGCATGGTAAATATTCCAACTAAAAAGAAAGCAAAATACGATATCTGTTATGGTTTTGGGGCCATTTCTGCATGTTTTTCAAAATTATTTTAATTTAACCGCCAATTGCAAAAAATTGGACACAAAATTCCCGATAAGGGGAGCCGTGCCGCTTGCATCCATCTT